TTTTTCACATAACATATTGTATGTATTTAATAAATGTATAGCTAAACATTCATAGAACATGTTTAGAAGGAACTGCATGTATCTCATTTGTGCACTAGTTTTAACTGCATGACTGTTGCATTGCATTTAAAAAAATCACCATTATAAATTTGATCAAAATAACTTGAGAATGAGCATAATAAATTTCTAATGAGTAGAGTAAGAGAGAGTGAGTAAGTTTCAGTGTCTCTGTCTACATTTTTGCTTTGTATCACTTCACATTTTATCTGTATTTTAGACTAAAACCTATATACATGCATACGTTGGTATAATACTGGTAGTATAATTATTGTCATAGCCCTCTTGTAGTGCTCTTAGCATCACTCAGCACTACATACTTTGAATGCACTTCAACTTTGAAGAGACTTGGTACTAAAGCCTTAATAACCAAAGAAAGGTTAATACAATACTGTATTGTAAGATTTTAAAGTTTATGTAATTAATTATACATTGGTATAGTCACATGAGATTGATGAGAATGAGATACAATCACTTTTTCAAAAATTAAAATGCTCAGAACTGAGAGAGAGAACACTCTACAGTCTCAGTACATTTTACTGGTACAAGAAGGAGATGAGCTGCTAAGAGAAGAGTCCAAAAAGAGCGAGGCAGTATAACAATGTGAATGACTTAATTATGTTACAATCACTATAATAACTGATTTTCATTTGATATGTCACAGTTATGAAAAAAACACTAGTTCATTGAGTCAGCTTTTCTAGCTAGTAGCATAACTCAACTATCATAGTACTCATTCTTTTTATCATGAGCTAAATCAGTCTACTCTCAGCTACAGCAAATTACACTGACCTTGCCGCTAATATACAAGCATTTTAGTGGTCATATTAAACAAGTACAGACTGCCAATTTGCAAGGTCTATGCAAATTGCTGTAAATTGTGATTTATGGTAAATGAGCAAACAACAGCACAGTTTGCTAGTCAGGTGAACCTGCCCTGACTAACAGTGTGTATTTCATGATTTGTAGCCAGTCTAGCTAGACTTATGTAAGCTAGCAGTTGATCTATGCACTTAGCTATCATCAGAGCTTTTGCTCTGTCAGAGTGTCATTGTTAGAGGCACAATATGGAGAGCCAGTCTAGCTATACTTATGTAAGCTAACAGTTAATGTATGCACTTATCACCACAGTTTTTGCAGGCTCTGTCAAAGTGTCATTGTCAGGGGCACAATATGGAGCTGTGTCTGTTTCTGCACTGGCTCTTTCTTTCATCTATTGCTCTCTCTTTGGGAAATGGTTCAAAATTTTATGTTCATCCTAATGATGATCCTTCACAGTGTCCTAATGATATTCCTTGTTGGGACATTAACGAGTATGCTAACAATGCTTTCATGAATGACAGTGTCTATTATTTCCTGCCTGGAGTTCACAACTTGAATAGAAGCATTAATATAGAATGGGGAAGTAACCTTACTTTCCAGGGAGAAGGAGTGATGAGGGAAGGTCCTCATACTACTGTCATGGAGTCACCAGTGGTAATACAATGTATCGGTTATGTAACTGTTACTTTTGGTAATTGTAATAATTTATCACTATCAAACCTTACCATTAAAAACTGTGGGTATAATGTGGCTGGCAGTGAGAATGGTTATCCTGGTCTTGTTATTAATGTGTCTAGTGCAAATTTGAGTTACATGTCACTGCAGGAGAGCCAGTGGATAGCATTATGGCTCATTGATGCCAGTGATATAACAGTTTATCATTCTTCTTTTTACAGAAATGGTTATTCTATTGACATTTTGTACAATTATGACTTGCCATCTCAAAGTTTGCTTGAGGTAAATGAATGTAATTTTACAGAGTCATTTACTGGACTATTTCTAACTCTTTATCAAAATGTTGATGTTAATATAAGAATAACTGCTGTCCATTTGTATAACAGCAGTTATGGAATTGATTTGTTTAGTACAGCGAGGCTGTATGACTTACAGATGAATAGACTAGTGAGTAGTGGTTGTGGTACGGTATTTTATTTAAGACAAAATTCAACATCTGTTACGGATAGCCCATCTATCAATATCACAGACAGTGTGATCTCTCAAAGTTCTTTGCGTGCTTTTCTGTTAAACAGTGGGAACATAAACATTAGTAATTGCACCTTCAGCAACAATAGAGACAGTGCTCTTGGTTTAGTTAATGCGTTTGTTACATTTTTTGGTGACAATTACTTCATTAATAATATTGGTCGTAAAGGAGGTGGCATTAACTTTATTGTAGCATCGTATATCTACCTATCCCCTGATGCCTATTTGTCATTTATTAACAATAGTGCTGATGTTACAGGAGGTGCTATAAATATAGATCAACCAGCAGTTTATTATTCTCATGTTTCTGTAGCTTTATGCTTCTTTCAATTCTTGGGTACTAGAAATAAAACATACCGTAGGTCGGGATATATTCGCGGCTGCTTATTTTCGCGATAATAAAAACTAATAAAAAGGTTCAATTAAATACCATGGAAACCAATCGATTGTTGCTATGACAATAAGACCACGTGTTTATACAATTACAGTGTTCAGCAGCTAATTATCTATTCTTTAGCAGCTTTAGTGGGAGCCATCCAGTTCTTTATCCGCTATCTTCTTGTATGGACCACTACCTTCGAAAATTGCATTTGGTAGTCATGGTGATTGCTGAGTGCGGGAAAAAATCGCGAAAATAAGCAGCCGCGAATATATCCCGACCTACGGTACTTTTATTTTGATAACAATACAGCCAATGAAGCAGGAACCGTAATTTATGGAGGAGCTATAGACTCATGTCTTTTGGCAGAGGGTATATTTTTTGGACAATCGTCCTTTTTTGATGTCAGTACATTTGTCAATCAACCAGGTAACTCTGTTATATCATCTGATCCACTCAATGTCTGCTTCTGTAATGATGACAACTCTCCTAATTGCAGTATAAGCACAATGGACTTTTCAGCATTTCCTGGACAAAACATTGGTTTTGTCATGGCTCTGGTTGGACAATTTAACAATTTAACAACTGGTACTATTGATATTTTGAATAGGTATTCAACAGCTTCCATTTCTTATGGTATAAAAGCTCAATGTACTCCAATCAGTTACAAATTTCAGTCAAAGGTTAATGTCACACTGAGTGCTATTGTACAAAATAGCATTAACTTTAGTAAAAGGGTCTATGAAATAATAGATGTCAGAGTTTTACCCTGCCCTAAGGGTTTCTGCTTATCAAATTTTTTTTGTAGTTTTGAATATATCAATGATACAGTCAGGAAATTCATTCAAAGTTGGAATAGCACTAACAATTCTGTGATGAAGCAACCTGAGTCTAACTTGTGGTTAAGTGGCACTAGTGAGTGTACAATATCATATTCAAGTTGTCCATTTAATTATTGCAATGGCCCAAAAAACTTTAATTTAAGCAATCCTGATGAACAGTGTGCCTCTAACTGAGCAGGTGACTTGTGTGGAACTTGCTCTGACAACTTCAGTCTAATGCTTGGCTCCAACAGGTGTGGGGAATGCAGCAATAATGCTTATCTTGCTCTTATAATCCCATTTGCTATATTTGGTATTGCTCTAGTTATTCTGATTGTTGCTCTTAATCTAACAGTCACTGTTGGTACTATCAATGGGCTACTCTTTTTTGCTAATGTCATTAAGATTTATCAACCTTTATTCCCACATTTTAATGAATTCACTATATTGAGTCAATTCATTTCATGGATCAGCATGGACTTCGGTGTTGAGACATGCTTCTATAATCGCATGGAATCATGTGGTAAGACTGGTCTACAGTTTGTATTCACAGTTTATCTTTGGGCAATCATTTTACTCATCATATTTTTGAGCAAATGGTCAATGAAACTTACCAGATTAATGGGCAACAATGCAGTTCCTGTTTTATGTACTCTCCTCCTTCTCTCTTACACTAAACTCCTACGTACCATTTTCTCCATCTTGAGCATTGATAGAATCTATCAAATGAGCAATGCAACAGATGGGCAGATTATAAAGCATGTGTGGTCAGTTGATGGTACTATTGAATATGCTCATGGCTGTCACTTAATCCTCTTCATTATTGCTTTACTAACACTAACATTTCTTTTCCTTCCTTATACAATGCTCCTTCTTCTCTTTCCTTTATGGGAATTGTGTCGTTCTAAATGTACCATTAGTACAACTTACTATATTAAGCTGAAGCCATTTTTTGATGCTTATGCTGGTCCCTATACTGACTCATTTCGGTTTTGGCCTGGAATGCTGTTAGTAGTAAGGATTATACTAGCTGCAGTGGTTGCAACAAAAACTCAAAATGAAGAAAACATTGGAATGGCTCCTCTTGGTCTATTGGTTGCAGTTATTGTGATTCTTCTCACTGCTTTGCGTCTTAAGGTTGTCTACAAGAACCCAAAACTCAATGCTCTTGATGAGTTTTATTTAATTTGTCTTATGATCACAACTGTTGTCGTATATGTTTCAAAGAATCCAAATGATTCCTTTGGAGCAGAGATAATCATCTTTGGTTTTAGCTTTGTTTGTTTTTTGGGTACAATAGTTTATCATGCTTACAACAAAGAAACTGTGAAGAATATTTTGAAGAAAGCAAAAAAGGCAGCAGAAATGAAGATATCAATCACAAAAAGCAGCATTAAACTTGATGATAATATGAGCACTGATGAAGCAAGAATGAGGTTGCCTACCGTCACTTCAACAGTGTTTGATACAAGTGACATTTACGAGTTACGTGAGCCATTACTTGACATAAAAGAAAGCTAAACTTTTAATTATTTTAAAGTGTGAACACCTTTCATTTTATTTTAATGATTTAGCTTTATGTAGGGAGAATTGCTACTTTAATTACAATAATTTATTTGTTGCAATTTTTCCTGCTTTTGCTCTTCAATTTTCTGTTGTTGGTCTTTATTTTTTACTATCTTATAATAATAATAATTTTGGAAAACAAAATGAATAAGTTAATTACTAATAAATGCATTGGCTAATGTTTTCTTTGTTTCTTGTATTGTGCCTTTTGTCTCCTATTATCTTTCTTCATGCGAGGATCCACTACTTTAAATCTTCCACTCACACCAGCTGGTCTCTTCACTCTCTTCCCCAGTCCTCTCTTAGCAACAACATACTGCACATCACGCTTCTTATTACTCGTAAGCCCTGCCTTCTTGTAGATCCCTATATACAATTAGCATATTGTAAGCAGTAATATGATAATAATCATGGCATACCTTTAATCTGACGGACTTTCTCTTGATCAGTAACATCAGGAGTATCACAAATAACTCGAGCTTTCTCTCTTGCTTTGGTAAGCTTACGAGCTGCTCTTTGCTTCTTCCTTGCCTTAGCTTCTGCTATCTTCTTTATAGGACGAGCATTTATCTCTTTAAGCCTCTTACGATACTCATCAACCATATCTTTAGTGATTGGTAACTGCTTCTGACAATGTGAGCTCTCGTCTTCCCTGAACCAATCAGGTAAGTTAGGATCATCTGATGTCCACCTGTTGTATCCACTCTCTATCAAATCCTGCCTCTTCTTGCGTGATTGGACTAGGAGGGCACCAATGGCCAGTCCTGCTGGATCTAGTTTCCGTACTTTCTTTGGTGCTACATCTTCTTCATCTTCTGATGTATCACTGTCATCATCAAATCCTGAGTGTTGTACAGCAGTAGGAGATATAGCTAGATCCTCTACATTATTCTCACTATAAGTAATAAATAATAAAACAAATGATAGCACACACAAATTAATTAAGTTACACATAGATCTACATGTACACCTCAATGTGCAATATTTGAAATAAACAAGTGTTTAACTGTTTGACTCACTCATTCTCATCTTCATCATTTGATCCTTGTTCCTCTTCTTTACTGATGATCTTCCCTCCTTTCTGTTTATATCTTTCCATGGCAGCTGCCACTTCCTCCTCCTCATCTTTCTCTCCGCTAAGAACTCCCTCAAACAAAGGATTGCTGAACCAACGGACAGTCTTCTGAGACTTCCCTTTCTTCTTATCCTCTAAACTAACAACCAATGGATTACCTATAAAAATTCATATGCCCATGCATAATCATAATTATAATAATACATACACAGTACACACAAAAATATTCATTTTATCTAATGCACTCCTATAATTAGCCTATTACTGCAGTAACTGTATGTCATTCACAGTCAGGTACTCATGTATAATGAATGGCTTACTTTTGTCTTCATTATCTAGTTCCATATCCTCATCATTGTCATCATCATCAGACTCTTCATACTCAATCTCTCCTTCTTCATTCTCTTCTTCTTCGTTGCTGCTGTCTTCCCTGATGTTATAGTCTTCCTCTACTAGCAATGGTCGTTGAGCTGATGCTGTTTCTTCATCGTCAGTCTCAAGAGCGTCTCCATCAATATCCTCTCCTTCAACCTCTTCCAATTGGCTTGAGGTTTTTATGTGATTTAAGGAAAAGAGTTTCTCTTTACCTCCAGAGGTAACCTCACCAGTCACTGGGTCATCTTCCTCTTGCTGAGACTTGAGACGCTCCTCAACTTTCCTCCTTTGCTTTCTCTTGTACCTCAGTATACTATTAGAATTAAAAAGGTATTGTGTACTGTACAATTAATACACTTTCTAATATATATGTAATGTATGCATGCTTTTGTTCAATTTGTTGTTGAGTTTATTCTGATCAAGTTTGGATTTTCTAAATGGACACTATAGTGAAGGGTATTGTTAAAAATTCCTAGGAAAGAATTCTCCATTTTTACTAGAAAGAATGTAAAACATTGAGGGGCTCCGCCTCCAGACCGCACCTCCCAGTCACGCCCAGACGTACGTTCAAGTTCTTGTAAGTAAGGGCTTCGCCCAATAATTTTTTTCTGATGCATATGTACTTACATGTGTGTTGTAGAGTGAATTCTAATCAAAGTTGAATTTTAAAGTTACTCTACAACCGGGCCAAAATTCCTGTACTGTACAGGGTCTTTGGTCAAATTTCGCCAAAAATAAAAAAGAAAGAATTCTCGATTTTTATATTTTTCCTGATACATATACATGTTCTTATGTTGAGTAGAAATTTTGAGCTGATTCCAATCAAATTTGGATTTTTTTATGAATTTTTAAAGTTACTTCAAAATCTAGCCAAAATCCCTGTACTATAGTACAGGGTCATTGGCCAAATTTCGCCAAAAATGAAAAGGAGAGAATTTTCCATTTAAAAATTTTTTCTGATACACATACATGTTCTTATGTTGAGTAGAAATTTTGAGCTAATTCCAATCAAATTTGGATTTTTTATGAATTTTTAAAGTTACTTCAAAATCTAGCCAAAATCCCTGTACTATAGTACAGGGTCTTTGGCCAAATTTCGCCAAAAATGAAAGGAGAGAATTTTCCATTTAAAAATTTTTTTCTGATACACATACATGTTCTTATGTTGAGTAGAAAGTTTGAGCTAATTCCAATCACATTTGTATTTTTTATGAATTTTAAAATTTGTTCCAAAATTAGGCCAAATACCATGGACTAATACAGGGAATTTTTGCCAAAACGGATATAAAAAAAATCTCAATTTCAATCATATTTCCCCTCCCCTTTACCTCTTTAATTCTGCTTTTTCTTCTTTAGCTAGTTCTTTGACTCTAGCATCAACTTCTGACAAGTCCATTTCATTGTCTGAGCCGGCCCCTTTAGTACCAGACTCATCCTCACTGTCACTAACTTGATCGAGAAACTCTTTCATTTTAGCTCTCCATTTAATGAGTACCTTTAATTCTTTCAAACCTAGTACCTATATGTACATAGCACTAATGTCATGTCATTAGAGCTAGTATATATACCTTAATGTCACTACAGAGTTCTTTTATTTCCTCAGTTGTTAGTGGGTGCTTATTAAATACTTCACTCGTTTTATCAAACACAAACTGATGTGAGCTGGCCAATACTGACATGTGGTCATCACTCAATATGAAATCAACAACAGGCAAAGAGTTAAATAATACATGCTGTCCCTCTGGATAACCTGTAGATGAAGACTTGGTGTGTTTCTATACAATGATAATAATATAATAATTATTATTATAACTATAACAACTGTACTTAATGATGTAGAAGTACCTGAATATTCTGCAATGTGATTTTAGGTTTCTCCAGAGGTTCCTGCTCTTCAAAAACAAACTTTGGATCCAAGAGTTTCTCGTCTGGTTTTCCTTTCACAAGATACTCTTGACAGACGACGAATATCTCTGCAGATTCGCTACGAGAGGCCTGAGGCTTAGTTGCATGAACTTTCTTGAATAACTTTTGAAATACGTTTAGCAGCTGTTGATAGTCTTTAGACCTAAAGACCTGAAAATAAACAAGAGAGTGTAGTATGATTTTATTAACTTATAGATCTCATACTTTAGTGACAAACCATCCGCCAGGTTTCAAGAAGTCTGTTGCTAGTTTTAATGCGCTGAGGGTCAGTCGTGCTTGAGAGAAGGCATCTTGTATCCATGCTGATCCTACATTAGGAGCACCATCATTAAGTACACAGTCAACCTTCCAAGTCTTCAATTCTTTCTGGATTAGCTATAAAAATAGAAAAAATAATTGAAAAAAAAAAGATTTTAAGAATGAGGAGGAAAAAAGAAAGTATGCATTGACCGGGAATCGAACCCGGGCCTCCCGCGTGGCAGGCGAGAATTCTACCACTGAACCATCAATGCACATTCTGCAAACGTCCAACAAAAACTAAGTTTTTAAAGGTTGGCTCACATGTCTACAATTGGGAGTTGTTATATCGGCTTGAATAGTGATAGCATTTGGTATCGGCTTTATAGAGACCAGATCAACTCCAATGATAAGACTAGAAACTGGCATATGCTGTGAGGCCACTTGCAACCAGCCACCAGGAGCAGCGCAGAGATCAATAAGGACTCGTGACTTCTGGAGAAACTGAAACTTCCTGTTGAGCTGTATAAGCTTGAAAGCAGACCTAGCTCTATATCCCGTCTCTTTTGCTAAGTGATAGAACTTGTCTTTTCTTTTCTTTCCTATTTTTGCTTTCTTCCCCATGATGATTTGTTGAGTATGATGCACGTGTCTACTAGGGTGTGGCTGAAAGGTGTGTAAACCATACCCCATATTATTGCACCATCAGTCCATCACCTCTCGAGTCTCTTTCTTCTTTTCTCAGTCTTTTATTCGACGTAACATGTCTGGAGTTCACTCTGTCTATACCTGTATAACATGTCAGGTTGCATTTGATGGCCCAGAGCTCCAGAGGTCTCATTACAAGACGGACTGGCACCGTTACAACCTCAAACGTAAAGTGGTTGAGCTCCCTCCAGTCACAGCAGAGACATTCAAAGAGAGAGTTCTGGCACTCAAGATGGAGGAGAGTCTCAGTGTTGAAGAGAAACATCTCTACTGTACTCCTTGTCGCAAGACCTTTTCAAGCGATAAGTCGTTTGAGAGTCATCAACGCTCACAGAAACACAAAAGCATTGTCAAAAAGAATGGAGAAACCTCACCTCCAAAAGTCAAGACGACATCAAAGAGCGAGACGGAAATTAAGGAAGAAGAAGAGGATATGGAAGAAGTCGAAGATGGAGAACCACTAACTGTAACAGAGTGTCTCTTCTGTCCTCATTGTGAAGAGGACATGGAATCAAACCTTGATCACATGAGCCGAGCTCATGGGTTCTTCATCCCTGACATTGAGTACCTTACCGACCTCAAGGGACTCATTGAGTACCTTGGTGAGAAAGTAGGCAGTGGTAATCTATGCCTCTATTGTAATGAAAGAGGCAAAATGTTCTTTACAGTTGAAGCTGTACAGCATCACATGATTGATAAATGTCACTGTAAGATATTCTTTGAAGGAGATGCTGCTCTGGAATATGCTGAGTTTTACGATTACACTAAGAGTTATCCTGATGAGGGATCTCCTGATGATGACGTCGTTCAGTCTGGATTGACTGTTAATGATGATCTTGAATTAGTGTTACCATCTGGTGCAATGTTAGGCCATCGTTATCTCAAGAACCACTACAAGCAGCGAGTCCCGCTTATGGTCACACGTAAGCCAAGTCTTGTGTCTAAAGTGGTTGCTAACTATCGCTCGATTGGTTGGAAGGAATCTTCAGATGCATTAAAGAGGCAGAGAGATGTTGCTTGGGCATCGAAAATGGCTCAGCAGCGAAAGATGAAGCTGAGTGTTAAGGCAAATAGCTTTCAGAAGCACTTTCGTCCTCAAGTTGTGTTTTAAGACTGAAGTTGTCTTGTGATATTAATATTGTTGCATTTAATGTATTATAAATTTTTGCCCACTTTGATGTCTTTTTGTGTCTATAAAAAGCTCCAAGTAGTTATTTAACTAATTACTAATTTAACCTACTCATGCTTTGGATGGCACATAACATTGGCATCCAGGGAGTCAGTGAAGTCATTCCTCCTACATACCATACGGTAGAGCAGAAGACTCATCATGTCTGTGACTTGGCTGTTCATGCAAGGGAGCAACAACAAGACTCACGATGAAGACTCCATTCGTTCTAGTGTCCTCCCTTCAGTGGAAGACCTCAAAAGTTTAAGAGCTGAATTCACAATTAAGGTTGCCCCGTGGGATGAGTACGTGTCTATCAAAGCAAATTTACTTCACTTGTCTTCAAGGAATGGTTGGTTAGGGGTTACGGAAGATCTCATCACTAAATATTGTTTTGATCCAGAGACCAGAGATAGTAAAGGTCATACGTGTCTCCATTATGCTGCTTTAGGTAACCACGTTGACATAGTTCGATACCTCACTACTGTGTGTCACTGCATACCGATCGCTGCTAATGATAATGGTACTAACGTCCTTCACTTTGCAGCTACTTATGGGTCGCTTGATGTCATCAAGCACCTTTTCGATCATTGTCATGTTGACCCGATGGTAACAGATCTGGTCGGGAAGACTTGTCTTCACTACGCCATTAAGCATATCGACCTTGTGAAGTATCTCATTGCTGAACGTGAGATTAATCCTATGATCACTGACAAGGATGAGAACACTGTCCTTCATTGTGCAGCAATGAATCAATCACTTGATGTTATGAAATATTTGATCAATGATCACAACTGCGATATAATGGCCACCAACAGGTTCGGAAAGACCATATTTGATTTCGCTATCAAACACATTGATGTTATGAAGTATCTGATTACTGAGTGTGGTTGTGATCCAATGGCTACAAACACTGTGGGTAGAACAATCCTTCACCGAGCCTCAATGCACGTTGATACTGTAATGCATCTCATTACTGAGTGTGGTTGTGACCCAATGGCTACAGACGCGAGGAATAATACGACACTACATTATGCGGCAAAGGAAGGCTCGCCAGATGTACTTAAATACCTCATCAATGAGTGTAACTGTGACCTAATGGCTGTCAATAAGGATGGTAGAACAGCACTTCACATGGCTGTTATTGGAGATAATATCAATGCTATTGAGTGCTTACTATCAACAGGTAAATATGATCCGTTGACTGATGAGGACAAGCATGGAAAGACATCGTTACAACTAGCGAAGGAAAAGCATCAAAATATTCTTCCACTTTTTACAAAGTTTGATCAAATAAAAACGTCAAATACTATTGACTCTTATGTTAATATTCTTCTACTGGGAAATTCTGGAGCTGGCAAGAGCACTCTTGATCGTGTCATTTCAACGACAGCTGCCCACTCCACGGTACTTGGTTCCTTTAGAAATACCAAAGGAGTAAAACCATGTACTGTTGGGATTGTTCCCACTAAACTACAACACAAAACACTAGGTAATGTTGTCCTCTACGATTTTGCTGGCCATTCGAATTATTATCCTAGTCACAGTGCTGTCACTGAGAATCTCTTACAAAATTCTGGAACTGTCATCCTGATAGTGGTTAATATAACGGACAAAGATGCAGTCAAGCACCTTTGTCATTGGCTGACTGTTGTGAAAAGGGAACTACTAAATTCTCTCGATAAGTGTCACGTTATCGTAGTTGCAAGTCATGCTGATGAAATAAACGATCCTGTTGAACATAAAATAAAAGGAGAAGAGCTACTTGAAGTTATCGGAAAAGAAATGGGCAATGCTGGTTCTGTCTTCTTAGATTGTCGTAAGCTGGGTGGTAGCAGCGTGGAGGCATTTTTGAATAAGGTATCAAGTGCATGTGAGTTTGTTCGTAGTAAAATGGATCGAAAGACAAGCCTTCATTGTCATGTGATGTACAGTTTGCTTATTAATGGACGGACAAAGAATGTACTCACCCTCAATGATGTGATGTTTGTTGCTAAAAACAGCAGCAACTACTTTCTGCCAGAGAAAAGAGAAGAGTTCCTTTCTGTCCTTCGTTCACTTGACTCGGCTGGTTTAATCAGCCTCGTTGAAAGTAATGATAAGGTGTGGGTTGTTGATAGAGGTGTGCTTCTGGCTGATGTTAATGGCACTCTCTTTGCTCCAAATACATTCAAAGAACACATCGATATTTCCAGTGATACTGGTATCATCAGTGTCTCCTGCCTGAGTGAAGCCTTCCCTAACTATGATCCTGAAATGTTGATCTGTTTCCTGGAGAAAATAGAACTTTGTCACATACTAAACTCATCTTGTTTACATAAGACAAACCTTCAGCCATTAAATGTGAGAAGGAACGAAGAGGGAGAAGAAAGATTTTTGTTTTTACCGAGTCTTTTACATAGCAAGAGACCTACTGAGATGAATAGTCAAGTGTACCAGTTTGGTTGGTGTCTTCAGTGTACTAAGAGAAACGATACCTTTCCTCTTCGATACTTCCACATCCTCTCATTGCATATTGCCCATAAGCTGTCTCTTTCAAGCTCTGATGATGATGATGATGATGGTCCTGATCAGAAAGCTACTTTCTGGGACACCGGTCTTCATTGGTTTAACGGTAATGGCGTAGGAGTACTGATAGAAATTGTGGATAAGAGCCGGTGTGTACTAGTACTGATGTCATGTGAAGATGGCTGCAATGACAATATGGTGCATCTAAGAAGAGACGTAATAGGAGACATTACAAGATTATGCAGAGAGCGTTGCCCCAGTTTAGAGGTAGGAGAGTTCCTTATTGATCCTGAGAATTTAACATATCCTATGACCTGCCCGAGACAAAGGATAACTTACAGCATACAGTCTGTGCTATCTTCAGTTGCTGAAGGTAGATCTTTTCTTTTGAGTGCTAAAAGACGTCCTAAATTAAAACGACTCCTGACTGATGAGCTAGCAGATATTGACAACATATCGATTCTAGGAGGACGAAGTTTTAAAGTAATAATAATAATAATAATAATATTTTTAGCCTTTTTTTGTTTGTTTTGGTGTTGTTTTGGTTTTTCTGTTTTGTCGTTTTTGCTGTTGTTTTTCATAATACGGTAATAAGAATGATAATGATAATAATACACATGCAATTGACATCATAATAATTTTATTGTATTATTATAGGAGGTGTCTTTTGACTCAACTGCAAGTGGTTCGGTTGATCATGCTGATGAATTGCCTGACATAGGACCAAGAACACCTCATGTACTTGGTAAGAAATAATAGTAATTAGTAAATACATAGCAAAAGAGTCTGTGTGGGAGACATGTCTATAAGTAACACTCCACTGATTACTATGTAAAGAATGCTTTTAGATGACATGCATATAGAATTAGGTGGGGCAGAAGAATTCAAAGCACTTATTAAGCAAGATATTTATGTGTGACCACACATTAAATGAAATACTATACTACAGCATATCAAATTTTAATACAATTATTTGTAGGTATTAAAGATCTTGGTGATGTCAATACAGAGTTGATACTGATCCAGGACTTGTCTTGCTCGAAATGGTACGAGTTTGGTCTTGAGTTGGGCCTACATGAGTCCAGACTAAGAGAAATAGAAGAAAAATATGGCGGAGAATTAGAGAACTGCTTTAACGAGTGTATGTCTGCCTGGTTGAATGAAGAAGATAATGTGAATGAGAAGGAAGGAGGTGGTCCGTGTTGGCTGGCTTTAGTTTCGGGTCTGAATAGAATAGGAGAGCATTTTATTGCAACTAACATCCAAAGGAAACACTGTAGGCATTATGCTGACCCTTGGCTCTGAACTCTATGCACATTTTAATAGGAAAATTTTATTATGCATGTATTATATAATAATAAAAATAATTGTGTAATACTATTGATTAAAAGCATTCTTTAAGAAAGAAAGGTAATTGAATGACATGTTCTTCCCTCAGAATAGTAAACCCAATGTGCTCAATGTAGTTGGCGACGTTGATTTGCATCACATTAGGTGACAACATTTTAAGAAATATCGAAGAAGTTTTTGAAACTCTGTCATGAATGGCGTGAGTGAATGAAGATGGTTGACAATAAGTCTTCACAATGAGCCCGTAGTTATCAAAAGATGAGATATTCAACAGTAGTGACTGGTACCTATTGGTAGATGATAATACCACTCTTTAATAAAGTTTTTAATACCTTGATAGTACACTAGTTCTCACAAATGATGGCGATAGCTTTAGTTCTTTTATTAATACGTCAATATAGTATTTTGAAGATCTCATAAGCTCTTCCAGCCCCCAATCAGTTTCAAAAGGGATAGGAGAGTTAAGAACTTCTTCCATTAGTAAGTAATCATTGGAATCGCTCCATATATTTAATGACAGACTGGGCTCCATTGTGATAACACTGTGGAACCAATATGGAGGTAAGTAGAGCACTTCTCCAGGATAGACATCAAGTGTAATCTGAGGCTCTTCTATATCAACCTAGTAAAGACAATAAAAAAGATACTGAACATATTATTGTTAATCATTGTTACTGTTAACTACCATAGAGCCAGAAAGTTTCATGGCAAAAAACTTTTGTGGTTTGGTGGCTCCCAGTCTATTTGTGGTTTTTATTTTCGTGGATCATCAGTGAAACTCCACACCTCTCATTAACTTGCAAATATTTCATGGTTTTTAATTTTGTGGTGTCATCCCAAAGCACAAAAACCACAAAACTTTCCGGCTATATGGTATCATCAATTTATCTGTCAACATAATGCAATGAATAATTATCTACCTGCAATTGCCTATAGAGTGAATGGAGACAAGGATAAAGACGAGAGTGATACTTGGGCGGAGACAATAGAAACCTCTTATGTCCACGAATAACAACATGAAGATTATGTGAAGTGTCATAGTGTGTATATGCAGTCACACGACTGCCGCCAAACCAGTAATTAACTTGACTGGGACTTTTGTGAGGCGGAAAAGTGATATTAGAAAGATCTTCAAACGATAACGGAAGATCTAATAATTCAATTCCTCCACTAGCATAAAAGAAATTATCGGATTTTGAAGTTTTTATTGACCGGAAGAACTCCATTGGTGAAATACCAACGACTTGGTAAGGCTCCTTGAGAGAGAACTCTGGGACATTGTTGAGAGGTTGACGAGGAGCATGATAAGTGAAGACTGGCTGGTGACTGTACTTGCACGAGAGAATCTTGTGCAAATCTTTAGCTAGGCCATCAAATGACCACTCCATTGCTTTGTGAGATGAGAAAGGAGAGGGACCAGTTATGACTACTGGATATTCAAGAGTAGCTAACTACATATAAAATAATAAGTAATGCAATTAAAGATGAGTATACTCACGTATTCTGTCATGTGGTGGGGGTTCTCTGGATCTATTTTCCACTGCAATCTTGAGAGATTAGATATAACACATTAGATTTTAAAGATTTTACTTGATAAATGAATACCTAGAGCCATTATTCTTGGATCTTGTGCTTAATTCTAACTGGTGACCATTGTAATAATAGTAGATGCCTACCAGCACAGATATAAAACCTCCAAAGCATGAGAAACTTGCAAGAGCTCTTCCAAACTTCATTTTCACAAAAAGGCGTGGCTAAAAGTAGCCACGCCCACAAATATTAACCCTTCTTCACTTCAGCTAAGCTAACATGGTGAGTTTCTCTATGCCCATTGTAAAAATCACAATGAATCTACAACTGTATCATACAATAGATGCTTTAAGTGATAAATTTGTTTCTTATTTTTGCAGGCAAAGAGGACAAAGAAGGTAGGAGTAGTGGGAAAGTATGGTACACGTTATGGTGCCTCTCTACGTAAAATGGTGAAAAAGATAGAAATTACACAACACTCCAAGTACAACTGCTATTTCTGTGGAAAGGTAAGTCAAATAATCTTGTTAAAATAATTAATATGATTTTAATATAGCGATCAATGAAAAGAACATGTGTTGGTATATGGCAGTGTAAGAAGTGTAGGAAAGTGATCGCTGGAGGAGCATGGGTACCAAGGTAAGGGGTGTGGCTTATAGAATTAGAAGTAATACTTGAATTGGTACTGTATTTTTAATGAAATATTTTTCTCTTGTAGTACGACAGCTGCTGCTACCATTAGAAGTGTTATTAGACGTCTGAGGGAAATGGCTGAACAGTAGCTTAATTTAAATAATTATTATATTGGTGATTGTAATAATGATCTATTGTTGTTATTATTTCAGACAAGTTTCTTCTTTTCATGATAAAATAATTATAATAATATGCATGAGGTCTACCAGTATGTACTTTTAATAATAATAATAATAATAGTGACAATAAATATAATATTAGTGGTCTAAAAATTATAATTATTTATAATTATTAGTAAATTTGTCTAGTTTGTCTTCCATACGTAGTCCAGTAGGCGCATTACATGCTCGTACAGTGTGAACACGAGTGCAACATCAGCACACACTCGTCCTAGTCTTGGCGTAGTACCTTTGTAGAAACTGTTATCAGAATAAAAGAGAAGATTAAGAATAAGCCAATTTCACAAAAATGATTTCTACAATTTGCTCTTAAATAAACCTAATTTTTTACATTTTCTAATACAGAAAAAGTTAAAGCCTTCCTTAGTATTTAGTATGCATTTGTCTTTAAGTTGTACGTTTCAGGACAAAATAGAAAAGGTACTATACTTGGTACTTACGCTCTAAATCCTTCATTTCTTGCAATTTGTTTAACACAATCCCAAGTGCTCTTGTATTTATGAGCATCAAGTCCCTACATATATACACACACAATAAATTATAACGAGTAATGAATGGAATCTCATTTCTTGCTCACTTGCATCCTGGTCTTAACCACATCAATTGGAGTGTTACCAAACACACTAGCAGCTCCTGCAGTTGCACCACACAATGCTGTCTTCACGGTACCAATGTTCTTGGAATAGTCGCCTCCTTGGATCCAGTGCTTGAGGTTCTCGTAGACAAAGAATCGGATCATTTGGTTAGAGCCTTGCTTAAGTATGGTTGGCGTGAGACCTTGGTATGTGCCTCTGATACCTGTTAATGTATTGATATTTATAATATGCAAATTATAGTTCAGAATTTACTAATTTTACAGGAAAAATAATATGATAATACTTGCATCATTTAACAACAATTTTGTTACGGATCAAGCCAAAAACCATTTCAAGAGATATAGTGACATCTCTTATATAGTGCTCAGATTTGACAAAACATCCCGTTAAAAAATGGCTCTAATAGAATTCTCCATTTTTTTTATTTTTCTGATACATATACATGTACTTACATGCAAAAATTGTTTTTTTCATGAATTTCTAAAGTTACTCAAAACTTGGGCCAAAGTTCCTGTACATGATCTTGGGCCAAATTTTGCCAAAAAATGGCTGAGTGAGAATTCTCCGTTTTAATTTTTTTTCTGATACATGTACATCCATATTCTTATGTTGTGTAGAAAATTTGAGCTGATTCTGATCAAATTTGAATTTTTTATAAATTTTTAAAGTTGCTCTATATACTATTATGCTTGTCAGCTCTGAGGCATGCTTTTAGTTCACTTAGTGTGCTTTGTGGGAAACTCATCTCCCCACCTATCAATGTCAAGCCACACTACCCCCAGTATGGGTCAGGGTAAGGCATCATGGTAGGGGTTTTGTACCAAAATCCCCATCCAGTCAAATCCCCTACTAAAGGACCCTATTGAATTATTACATGTGACTCCTACTAAACTTCTGGTGTGTAAACTTTGCATTTTCAATATCTAACTTGGCCTTACTGGCAAAGTCTTCTAGCAGGTCTTGTTGGAGCGAAATCCCCATCCCTGGGGCCATCTCAGAGTGAAAAACCCTCTACCAAATCTCCTACATATAGGCTACGTTTATACAGCAATGCAAAACGCATCATTTTAAAAATATATACCGTATAGCCGGAAAATTTGGCGGAGAATTAAATTTGGCGGAGAATTAAATTTGGCGGATTGGCGGTTCAAAATAAAACCGCCAATATTATAACCGCCAATAATAATTTCAATTATTATGCGCGGGTTCATTATACCAAAAAATGGCAGTATTTCTCACTATTTCAGTCACAAAGTCAAGACTGTGGGCAAGGACTACTAAGGAGCAGCTTTAAGAAGAGCTGAGAGTGCTTAAAGAAAAGACAAGATAGTAAACCGCCAAATTAAATGACCGCCAATATTATATTTAGGCAGTTTTGATGCAAAACCGCCAAAGTTTTAGACTGCCAAATTTTCCGGCTATCGGTACTTTGAACACCGTTTTTGTTTCCATAGAGTTCTATCAAGATTTTATCATGTTTTCATTCGTTTCAATGTAAACAGAAGCATAAAACAGGCACAAAACTACACTGAATGCATCATTTTCCTTGCTGTGTAAACTGTATGTAAGTATTGGGGGTAGAGTTGATAAGCGCATCAATCACGTGATAATAACTTCAATAAGTGAACATATGTGTTAACTTGCCTTCTTGTTTAATAATAGTCCTCACACCATGGAAGAATCCTTTATATTTTGGATTGGGTTGGGTCTGATCGTGAATAAACTTCACTTTAATAGTTTCCATGGGACACACTATCAAGATGGCTTCACTGACACCAGCACCAAGTCCAGCAAGCAAACGCTGAGGCTGTGTCAGCCTACCAGTCTCGGTGGACATTCTGTTCTTGAGAAACTCAAAAACTGAGAACCTAAAAGAAATTAAAGATAGAGAGAGAGAGAGAGATAGGGTCAGAGAGAAGCCTGTTTACTATAGTGTTTACATAAACAGACAAAGTCAAGTCAGGCCACAGATAATGCTATTTCACACCACCTCTTATCAAAATAAGCTGACCATTATTCAAAAATTACTTTTAAAATTCATAATAACAATCAAGAGCTAAGGTCACTCCAAATAAATTCATAGTTTCTCCTTACACGTGCGGCACTGGTGCGAGCAGGCGGTAAGTTAATTTTGATTATAAATTTTGATTAAAATAATAATAAAGTTTCAACAAAGTAGCAACCATACCTGATTCCTTGTTCATCAATGAACTAGAGAGCAGTGAAAGACGTATGTTTTTACGTTATTACTATTTTTAATATTTTAATTAAATAATTAAAATAATTATTGGCGAGGGCAAGCAGGCGGCAAGGAGAAACTACAAATTTAGTTGGAGTGGCCTACCTGTTGCTGGCAATGGTGATTATTACAGGGAAAACTCAAAAGTGTTGCATACAAAAGCAGAAATGCTAAATTTGAGCATTAAATTGACTAATTGATTTATCATTCTTTACCTGACGGATGCTTTAGGAATAGATCCATACAATAATGAAGAGAGTCCTCTATAAAGTCCTAGTACCCCATGCTCCTTTACAGTGAGTGAGACACAGTGCAGTGGCCCCTTGAAGCGTGGTTTAGCAGACCTCTCATCCAACTGTAGCTGAGTCTTTACGTATTCGGTAGGGAATGTTATCATAATCTCAAGACCTCCGGCAATACCACCTGCAGTTGTTAATAAAGCATTATATACTGTAATGTGTATCTGCTATGTGTTAGTCTACATGCAACAATATGAGCTTTTGTCTATTATTTTAAATATCAGTTAATTCCCAGAAACTCATTATTACAAATTTGCATATTGATTTATTACAGGCCACACATATTAAGTTCTAGTACATAAATACTCTATATTTATTTAGTGAGAGGCTCCCCCACTACATTACCTGCCATTATAGCTTTCCCAGGGTGCTTCCTGTCACTGGGAGCAGCTGCTACAATGGACCTCACACTACGGGCAGGACTACGATCCATGGCTCGTTGACTATTGGCTCTTCTGTCTCTACGAGTACTGGCAGTATATTATTGGAGGCTTTCTGAGAAGGAGGACTGGACATCCGAACCCACCTGGAAACTTCACAAAAGGTCAGGTTTATTTAAGGATTTTGATTAGAGTAGATAGTAGATAGTAATCCCCGCCCATTGGGATCAGCTTTCAACAAAAGTTTGGTGGGCAATTTGGCGGGAATTTATAAATAAAATGGCGTCCAAAGCTAAAGAAAGTGAAGGTAATTCTATTATTCTAATGACATGACATCTTTATGCCTCATCAGCTTTAGAGAAAGTTTTCAAGTACATGAAAGATCAAAACAGACCGTACAGTGCAGGTCAGTAAAATACCAGTAAATTATAATAATTATCAATAATAATAAACAACAGGTGATGTTTTCAGTAACATGCACAAGGAATTCAACAAGCCTGTAAGTCAGTTCCTTGATATTAGAGGGAGAGAGGGTATGCCCTACTTTTCATTACCCTCTAGTGTGTACAGCGTGTACTAGACCAACTGGTATCAAATGGAAAAGTAAAAGAAAAGACATACGGGAAGCAGAAAGTAAATAATTATTAATATTATACGGTACTAGATGATTTATTGGTGAGAGTAATATTTGGCAAATTTACCTGTGGAATGTTATTTGACGAATTTTATATTGGCGTTTTTGTGCCACATACCATTGAGTATGCCCAGTTGAAAAGAAATGGCAGATTTTATATCTGCAATTTCTTCATTGAATCGCCAATATTAATTCTTTGCCAATAAATTATCTTGTACAGTATAGCTACTATTACTAATGCATAGGTGTATGTGGTTGATCAGGGGCTATTTCCAGTCATTAATGAGTCAGAGATAGCAAAAATGGACGATGAAATCCGAACACTACAAGAAAGCATAGCAGTACAAGAGAGCGAATGTTCTGCCATGGAAGCAAGTAAGTACTTAAACACCAGATGATGTTATAATGTGTAATCAATAAGAGTTGAGTGCTTTAAAGAATTCATTGACATTGCAAGAAGCAAAAGAGAAATTGGAAGAAACAGAGAAAGAGGCGTGCCACATGCTTTTCATGATCTTTCATTTTTTCTTCATTTCTCTTTATAGTGTACAAAGCTTAATGAAAGGCTACAAGTTGCCAAAGCAGGTATATAATGTACAATGTACCAGTCATACTATTATAATGTAGGTAGTGAGAACATAACTCCTGAAGTAGTTGAAAAGGTTCACACTGAACACAAAGCAGCTGTTACCCACTGGAGGAAGAGAAAGAGACTGGTTAGGAATAAACATCAATGACAAATGAAATAGGGACACTTTGTCTATTCTATGCCATATAGGCCATGGATATTGTCAATACTATATTAGAAGACTTTCCAAGATCAAAGAAGGAACTACTGGTCAGTAAAATGGTGTATGTCTACAAAGCAATTGTTCTATATTTACTGTTGTATACTTGTAATGAAATATTTTACATTTTATAATAGGAAGAGGTTGGTTTGGAGACAGATGAAGATTGTGGTGTTTCAATACCATCAACTACCACTTGAAAAAATTATACTCTACATGTATATACACTTTCACTATTCACATTATTAAAATTGACAGTTATAATAACATAATAATAATAATAATAATAATAATAATAAGCTATAAAAAGCCCCACAATAAAGGCACAAATTAAAACGATAATAAAAAAATTGACTGGCTAAGCGGTCTCAAATGTATCCGTTTCTAAAAATGCATATAAAAGTTTCTCCTTCATTTCTTCAAGTGACCGATATGGGGGTAGATCAATGCGATTGAAACAAGTATGAGCACTAGAATAAAAGGAATGTAGCATATAATATGGAGGAACTATTAAGATTATAACATAATACATACACTGTAATACTCTGATACTCATTTCTTCTATACGCTACATGCTTACATTATGAGTGATTCCACTGGGCCTGTGTAGCGATCAATTGTAAACTTTTGTATCTGCTGTGAAGATCCTCTCAGACCTTTGAAGCCTTCATATGGAATGCTAGAAGTGCCAGTACTAAATTGCAAGAATCTCAACTTTTGTTCGTTAGTGAAAGACTCCATAGCTTCCCAGAACCAAACTATTACACTATGAGTATCGTGATAGCCTGTACAAGTAATAGATATTTTTTAAAATAATCTTTCATTATAATAATAATCATATATGGGTAGCTAAAATTAAGATTTACTGACCTCCCCAGTATTGTGTGTTGCTCTTCCAGTCCTCCATGTTGATTTCAGGAGTACCTGCTATGACCCATTCCAGTTCCCTTGCATCAAAAGGCTTCAAGTATTGCAATGGTAGCATTTCTCTTAGTCCTTTAATGAGACACTCTGTCTGCTGCTGGACACCATGTGATAGCTTGCATGTTGTCATCAGCTCTACATATTCTTTCTTGTTATCTTCAGTCACTGGTATTTGAGCTCCACCAGGCTTCAGCTCTTTCTCTATTACCTAATGCAATAAGCATCATTGAGTATACCAAAATCAGACATGATAATAGTTTGGAGCAACTTCAAAAATTCATAAAAAATCTAAATTTCATTGGAATCAGCCTTAAGTTGAAACACAACATAAGGACATGTATATGTATCAAAGAAAATTATAAAAATAAAGAATTCTCTCCTAGTCATTTTTGAAAAAATTTGGTCCTTGCTTTTGGTTGTTGGTCCAATTTTTGAGCAGCTTTTAAAAATCATAAAAAATCAAATTTTATCGGAATCAGCTCAAAATTGAAACACAACATAAGCATGCACATATGTATCAGAAAAAATTATTAAAATAAATAAAATTCTCTTCAAGTCATTTTTAGTGAAATTTTTGAGCAACTTTAAAAATTCATTAAAATCTAAACTTGGTCAAAATCAGTTCAAAGTTGATATACAACATAAGTACATGTATATGCATCAGAAAAAATTATAAAAATAAAAATTCTCCTATGGTCATTTTTGGCGAAATATAGCCTATGGCCTTTGGCAAAATTAATCTTTAAAATATAATCTTAATTACAAAACTATAATTAAAGACATACTTCACCAAATGATTCTTCTAGTATGGTAAACGTCAGTTCTAAAGGTGCAGGATCATTCTCTAACACATACTTGAGACTGTTATAGAAACTTAGATCAAGAGTCTCCACATCACTGACAGTATAAGGACTACAGGACAAAATAATGGAGACGCAAGACACGTTTTAATAAAAAGAAATCAATACTTACATCCCTAGCAATGCCTTGTATACATGACGGGCAAAGAAGACATCAAGCAACTGATTCTGAATGATAGCATAACCAATGACACGACCAGCAAATCTAAACCTACCAACAATCACAAGACAATAACACAATTACTCTCATCATAAAATACTACTCACCATAACTGAGCATCATCAATGCTTGACGAGTGCCTGCTGATCTGTACAGTGTATGCCCCGTGAGTCGTATACTCAAACAACCCATAGAAAGGATTGAATAATAGCCGTGAGAGCTTGAAAAAGAATTCTCTCTGAGGTCCGCCATAATCCAGACCCTCCTCTCCTTTCCATGTCACGTGACAGCCCTTGGTCCTCAAGGATTTGGAGGACTTACTCATAATGTAGCGATAGGCATCCTCTAATAAGTGATCTCTTCTCAGTGATAGTCTAAAGAATATTAATATATAAAATTGACGTGTACTATTTAGTATTATCATAGTTACCTTAGTTCACCATAACTCCCATAATTGTTAATATCGAGGATAGATTGTAGCTGTTGAAGTTTTCTAACAAAGTCCTCATCTCGAGGAGGAGGAGGAACAGGGGGAACAGGAGGAGGAGCTGGTATATGGAGTACTGTAGGAGGTGAGGAGCCTCCTATTGGTGCAGGCTGCGATGAAGAGGAGAACTCTCTAATGGAGTCGGCAATCCTCCTATTACATGCATACATGTATACATGTACATGTGGATCAATGAAAGAGGACTCACTCAACAAGATCACGTAAGACACTCGTCCTGTTTAGCTCAAACTCAATGAGAGAGACGTCCCAGGCACCACACACTTGGACAATTGATCTGTAAAAATAAAAATAATAACAAAAATTTAATATAATAATTATAGTACCTTTCATCAGCATCCAGTTGAGTAAGGCGTGAGAGTATATTAGGCTGTGACATAAAGTTTCTCACTTCAGTAGCAGTAGGGAAATCTAAGGGAGAAGAGGTACAGTGTAGGTAGGGGTATGGTGTGAGTCTTATATTAATGAGCTCACTTGGTGGGAAATTATTTCCTTCTCTCTCTCTGACACTGGCTAGTATCTCTTCGCGTAGATCACTAAATTGAAAAAAAATTATTTTATAAATTATAAGTAATATTTAAAGCTTACAATACAAATCGTCTTGCATTGGAGCTTGAATTTAGCTCAATTGCTAGTTCAAATGATAAGCAGTGTTCGAAGCTGTCAATGTATAACCTAACAATACAAATAATAAGGAATCCTTTATAAACACTGAAGTACCTCATATAAGGTTCTATACTGTGAAATCTTGATAAGACTTTATGATAGACACCAGGGTCTTTGAAGAACTCAATAATATCAGTTAGAGGAATACCCATATCTGAGAGAAAACACAATACAGAAGCAATTGAACAACATACAACATTATACATGCAGCATTAGTGGTTCAAAGTTTGACATATTTTGAGCTATGCTTGTACATGTACATACATACAGTATGCATATTACTATTTTGACATTAGTACAGTTATTATACAATGATGCTTGAGTCCCTTCAGTCCCCAATATATACTAACAGTCATTATGATCGAGGTTCATTTCAGGTGGTGCTGTCCGTGCATGAGAGGGAGGAGGGGGAGGAGTGAGGGAGGGAGGAGGGAGAGAGGATCTCGACATTTGATGATTAGCAGCCACAGAGAACAACTGATGATCTATATCAGTCTCAAACAAACTATAAAAATAATAAATAATATTAAAAAAATTTGACTAAGGTACCTTAGAATTATTGTTAGTTCCAAATAGACTTCATCAGCTTCATTCTGGAGTGCCTCTAGTCTAGGGACACCCAGTGTCCTAATGCTCTCAATGCTCTCCCTATCAATAAGTGGAGGGACTGTCATGTGATAGTCACGTGACCTCTAACCTCAGAGCAGGAGTAAGAGTACCCTCATATCTTGAAGCAAGGACATTGAATATGTCAGACTGTCTCAGGAATGTGACAATTTTGGCACTATAAGCTGTAATGTAAGGAAGGACACACAAGCAAATGGACACACAAATAAAGGACTTAACTCACTTTGGACTGGTATTTCATTATCATCATCATCCTACAAGAAAAAATTATTAATAGCATGAAAGACTGTATTGTATACATACATGAACCATAACAGGTGTCATTGGTACAGCAACAGGAGCTACTGGAGTACTGGCACTTCTCTCAGGCAGAGACTGAAGGACTGGAGAAAACTCTATACCAGTGAGAGGACGCTGGGCAGACTGGACCGGCCGACTTCTCATCTATGGTAAATGGTATAATGGTACAATGGTATAATGGTACAATGGTGCAATGAGACAATGGTATTATAATGGTACAACAGTACATGCAGAGTTTCCCACAAAGCATGCTTTTTGAGCAACTTTATGAATTCAGTTTGTTGGAACTCATTCAAAGTTTTATACATCATAAGTTAACAATGCATTACGTACCACTCCTTGGTCTTCAGCTTTCCGGAGTTGCTTCCCTGGTAATGGAAGGCGTGGATCAATAAACGTTGTTGTTTTAGAATTATGATCAACAAATACAACCTGAAAAATACACGCATAATTACTAAACTTTCTTCAAATTTCTAACAATTACCTTCTGACTTGCTTTGTCTAGCCTCTTCTCCCAGCCATCAGGTAGAGTGCAGTCTGTTTGAGCAAATGAATTAATGGCCGAGACAAGACGAGAGGAATGACTGTATTTTGAATAAAGTGAATGGTCACTTCTAATCGACTGGACCAGTTTCAACAATGGGAGATCCTGTATAAACACTGTACTACCTGTGGACTAAAAAAAAGAAAGAGAGAGAGAGAGATGGGGGGGGGGGAGAGTGAGAAAAGCTAAATTTAAAAGGAGTGATGTCCCAACCTTAACGAATTCGTAAAAGTCGTTTCTTGTCAGAAAGAGAAAGCCAGGATGATCTTTCATGCTATCATCAACACTGTCCATACGGACAAGAGCATTAGAAGGTAGATCCAACCTGTTGTTAGTGGATGAGGTAGGAAGTGAAACACTGGGAGGAGCTGCCGTAGATAAGGAGAGAGTAAGGGTAGTGGGGTGAGGGGGAGGGGTATCAGTATTATCAGTAGAGCCTTCATGAGTCTCCATATTATCAAGGATACTTCCTTCAGAGACAATGATCACTGGAGACATTGGAGTCAATGGAGGACTAGCATCAGCAGATTGAACTGTGATATGACACTCAGTAGACCCTGAGGGGACACTGAGGGACTCGGGTGCTACAGTAGAATCAAGAACTGCAGCAGAATCAGTTAAAGAGTGAGGGACTGCAGTAGTAGAACTAGACTCTTCAATTGCTGCAGTACTATCTTCAGCAATCACATCAGATATTACATTATTTTCTCTAGTATGAGACTCGGTGGTATGGGAATGAGACTCAGCAGTATGGGAATGAGCCCCCAATGGATGTGATGCCAAGCTTACCAGTGGACGAGGGGAGGGTGTGATACGATTAGGAGTTGGACAACTGTTCTGACGCATGACCTGATTACGAGATGACCTAAAAGTGGATTAGTGGGTGTGGTAATTACTAGGTGTGGCCAACCCAATACAATACCTTTGCATAAACTGCTCCAATCCAAGATGATGAGGTCTGACGAGTGGTTCAGTTTGATCCAGTGCTGGTGATGCTGGTTGACTCTGTCCATTGACTACACAGGATGTGAGGTCAATGCCCCGCCCATTAGCCCTGCCCACTGGTGAAGAGTTGTGAATGATCACAGAGTAATGGCGTCTGTCTGAAGGATCCCTACGACCTCGCCGATAATGATCACCAGTCAGTGTACGCCTTACGTAACGTATCCTGTCTAAAGACCTGAAGAGAATAAGAGAATGTACATGTACATGCATACATTGTATGTATACATGTACATGTACATGTACATGTATGTGTAGTGGAATAGAATAAAGGACAACTTGGGTTCCAAAAAATTAAAAATAAAATTTTCTTATCATCTAAAACTTTGATCACAGAAGTACATTAAGTCCAAACTTAACAATTGATTAATTTATTTAATGTTCAAACACCTACATGTACATCTAGCTATTATGTACAATATACATGTCCATGTATATTTTATGAAGTTAAAATGACTCCTAACACTAATAATCCTCACCTCTCCGGTAGCTGATGTGACTCAACATCAGGTGTCTCTTGTAATGGTGATAGCTGTCCCCTGGACTCATCACCTAATGCAATACATGTACATGTACCATCATTGAAGTATATGTACATGTACATGTACATGTAACGTCATTCAGTAGATGTACATGTACATGTAACGTCATTCAGTAGATGTACATGTACATGTAACGTCATTCAGTAGATGTACATGTACATGTAACGTCATTCAGTAGATGTACATGTACATGTAACGTCATTCAGTAGATGTACATGTACATGTAACGTCATTCAGTAGATGTATAGTTGTATGTACCTTCAGTGATTGAAGGGGGGAGATCGGTGAGGTTACTACTTATTGTCATGGAGACAGTGCCCGAGACTCTATCACTAGGCAGACGCTTCTGAAGTTGGTAAATTTTAGTCCTAAAATAGTAATAATAATAATAACAACATTAATGGGATAGTCATCCTCTTGTATCAATGTTCTGTACACATACGCATACTGAAATGAACATAGCTTGGCAAGTAACAGTTTCAATATAAATCAACACAAACTATCCCATACAAACATACTAAAGGCTATACATGGACACATTAATACATGTACTGTATATATAAACACACACATACACACATGTACACAATGATGGTGTAAACACACAAAATCAACAAACTTCCTAAAGATAAGTATAACAAAACAAACATGAATATCAATGTACATGAACATGATATAATTATACTGAAAAACAGATGATTTTGGGGAAATTTTGTCCGTTATTAGGTGTCTATGGTACATTAGACTAATGAACGGTACAATAAAGAAGGAATGAGAGTCCCTGCATACATGTACATGGGCTAATAGCAAACTATGAATAAACACACATACACACAGAGCAGGCTCCCTCAACAGCTGTCATTCATTCAGTAACACTAGCACCATCTCAAAACACAAACTGTCAATAAAAGCTCACATGTACTGTATACAGGCACATCATTATTGTCTTACAAGGACTGGGTCTCTGAGAGGAAGCTCAAAGGAATGAGAGCTTTTCCCAAAAAGTGACTGGCGGACGGACGAGAGAATGAAAACTTGTCCCTCACTTCGACCAGCAAGCAATCAGTAGGTAAGACGGTCATTGTGAATAACTGAGAGGAAAGTGATGAGGAGATAAAAGGGATTGGATAAAAGAGAGGGAGAGCAGTAGGAAAATAAATAAATAAATAAATAAATAAATAAAATAAATAAATAAAAAAATAAAATAGATGCACTGTAATGGCTTTTGGTTTTGAACATTTACAGGTTCATCAAAGGTAAAATAATGACCACAAGATCCCTCCACTAAACAATTTGACCTTATGAACCAAACAAAATGCCCACGGAACACTTGTATGTGTAAATATTGAGGCTCAGTTCCATACCTCATCGGTCCATGATGGATTGCAGCTGTTGTTAATGACAAGGGTCACTACTGACTGGCGGTGGTGGGGCAGCTTGTTGCCTCCTCTTCCTATACCAGGTGTTAACGATAATTTAATAAATGGATCAGGTGCACCAAAGGTCTTGAATCTCAAGTTATGGCAACACAAACCTAATGTATTATTCGTAAGACTAAAAATATAAAACACTATCTTTTCATTATTACCACTAATCTTTATGGAAATGAGGTCTTGGACGACCACCGAGAGTGGCTGGTGGGCGTGTTCTTCATTGGGCGTGGCCTCAGCCGTTCCAATGACAATAAGTGGATCACTTTGAGCCAAAAGAATATTATTACTAGTGTAGAAACAGAAACAGACTGGACTCCCTTCTCTGCTGAGTTCTATCACAAAAACACACACACGTTGATAAGATTAATACCCTAATGACCAAACTCCCATTAAACCCCACACAATCAGTCAATATAATCATAACATGTATAAAATTGCATGTACATAATGGACTCACGATTATTGTCAAGCAGTATCCACTGTATCTCTCCTTCATTGTCAAGGTTCTGCCCTCTTAGTTTATGATCCAGGTAGCTCTCAGGATTGAGGTCGTCTATAAAGAGAAGGAAAAAACAAATCAAAGTGTATCTATTTTCATAACAAATTAGTCTAGAAATTAGCATTCCTGGGCATCAAATGCCAGCCACTTACCCACAGAGAACAATCCAATCCAGTCGTTCTCACAAGGAGGTTGCTGGTCCTCCTCTCCATCTCTTTGTCCAATGGACCAGCTCAGCGTCACTCTGTCCCCAATAGACGCCTCGCTCCTGTTCAAGGAGATAGTGCCGCTCATCAGGGACGGGGAGAAGAGTATGGTGTCCCCTCTGCTGGACCGGGGACGGGTAGGGAGGCCAGCTTGAGGCGGTGAAATAGGTCTATCCTCATCCTCTGCTTGCAGAGACATTCTCAGTCACAGGTTAATTAACTGAAACGCCTACCAATTAATAACCACCAACAGTTGATCAACACTGAACACTCCCTTTTACCATGCCAACAGTAAACACTTTAATATTCTCTTACATTCTTATTTTTCTTTTTCTTCCACAGACTAAAGAAGAAAAGGCCTTGAATGAGATACTTCCTAAGCAAGGACTTCTCTACAATGAAGAAGTATCTGTCATGGTATGATACAAATATAATTAATTTTTGACATGGACTAAATTTTGTCTGTTTATGGTAGGTGATGAATAAACCAAAGATACTACCACTTAAATCTGTTACTTTAGAAAAGATTGAAGACATGCAAAAACAGGTAAAAATACATGTACATTATACTTGTAATGCATTAATTACATTACAGGCCCAAGACTTTATGAATCAAGAGAAGAAACCAACAACTGATGAGAAACAGTAACACACATAACTATTAATTCTGTTTATGGCAAAAAATTGCTTATAATAATAATCATCATTATTATTTTGACATTAGCTCTCGCCTATTAATCTTAATTCCAATGTTCATGGCTGCCAGCTCAGCCACAAAATACCTAAAGACATAAGGAACCGATATTGTTTCAACATGTCCGCCTCCCTCGCACACTTTACATGCCCACATCTCCTCTTGTGGAAGAGCAGGATCCTCTGATCTCTTGAGACAAATAGGAGACAATATACTGCCACAATCACTACACACACGAGACTAACAGAGGAAGAGAAGAATGAAATAAGAGAGAGTGAGAGAGAGAGGAGGAAGAAACTTACAAGAGATTTATCAGAGCAGTTAAGCAATCTGTCCTGCAACAGGAATGAAGCTCCATGAGCTATTAAGCAATCTCTCTCCATTTCTCCAAATCTAATGCCACCACCTTTGCTCCTTCCCTAAAATGCAAATAATAAACAACAACAACAATAATGGTGATATAAATTTGTTTTTCTTATAATAACAATAATAATGCTAACTTTAATTGGTTGATGGGTTAGTGTATCAATAGGGCCTGTAGTACGAACCTAAAAATAATTATTATTATCATTATAAAAAGAATAGAAAATGTCATGATCGAGTCTCAATGACTTACCTGATACTTATCGGCCACCATGTGTCTTAGTCTCTGGTAATAAACAACTCCAAAGAATATGTCAACCTCAAACTCTCTCCCATCAATCCCACTGTACATCCTCTCACTCCCATAGTAATTATAACCAGCTGCACAATAGAGACTGAATGAGGGGAACAGTAATGCTTCTCTTACCTTTTGTCAATAAGGTACCAAAATAATCAGCTGCAGGTTTCTCGTCACCGAAAATAAAAGACGTAGAATCATGAGTGATCCCGTGAAGAGCACCTGATTTACCAGCCATACTCTCGACCCACATACCTTAACACAACAATTAAAAAATACTAACATTTTAATATCATAAATGTGGAATATTTTAAAAGGTGACTTTAATTGAACAAAATAAAAAAGTAAAATTAAAAACCATTGATTATTTATTAGTTACGTAGCACAAGTGTAAACTGTAAAATTAAAAAGGAGTAAAAACTTTAAAAATAAAATAACAAAGGCAGTAAAATATTCCACTTCTACGGTACTAATAACTGTAGCTTACCAACTGTCATACGTGATGGGAAGCCATGAGGATTAAAGATAATATCAGGTACCATGCCAGATTCACAGAATGGAAGGTCCTCCACAGGCCACTGCCAGCTAAGGACACCTTTCTGACCATGACGACTAGCAAACTTGTCCCCAATGGCAGGATTACGCTACAATCACATTGACTAATGATTAACCTCCACACCTTCTCACTTACGTTCAATCTTAGTTTGATACTAACTCTCTCTAATGGTCTGTCTCCTTTCTCACTCCCTAACAGTTTAACCTATCATTAAACACAAAAACACAAAAGAATACAACAAAGACTATTGTACTAATATCTATATTGTACAATAGAGCTGCAGAGAGTAATGGGAGGCTCACCTCTTCAACATAAGCTGGTTCTCTTGACTTGTATCGTTCAACATGAACACGATTAGATGCCAAATCAATGTAACTACAAACACATTATTACGCATGAGAATTTTAATAACTTTACAGTTTAAAAAAGCATAAAATAACTTAATAATAGCCTGTACTATAATAGTCTATATTAGAAATCAGGCCCTCATCTAGGATTTATACAAGGGGGCAGGGTTAAAAAATATTTCAAAAAAGGGAGGTCATTAATATTTTCCATTATGTATGCACAATGTGTGCTCGCAACACTTATACAAGTTACTGCTGTGGTGATAAATTTTTCATGTTAATAAGTCAATCAAGGGGGAGGCAAGTGTCTCCCAAGGGGGCGAGCGCCTCCCCCCGCCCCCCCCTAAATGAAGCCCTGGAAGTGTTACCTGTAAAGTGGATCATCTTCTTCCAGTAACGAGCCAACATGAGGTAATCCATCTTCATCAAGTCTCTCATAGGCAATCTTATTGCTGGGTAGAGTACCAAACTGATACATTGTATTCCGATCATTCGCTTTCTTACTTAAATCAATAAACTACATATAAAATAATAATGATCAATATTATGAGCTTAATTGACTAGTAAATACCTCATTCTTGTACACTGTAGCGTGAGTGAACCCTCTTTCAAGAGATGCTCTGTTGATAACAATGGCATCCTCCATATCATACCCCTATAGTATTGTGCATTATAGGAGGAAATGAAACGTTATGGTTTATCTTCAAACATGCTTTTTAAATTTGCAAAATATTGGCATATAATCCGTTATAATAAAGTGTTTGACTTCTTTTGTTCGCTAGTCAGTTTGGCAACTAGCTGTCAACTATGCCAAATTTCTGCTAATAAAAGCTAGAATTTACTATCTACTAACACCAACTAAATATTTAGCACATGAAGCAATAAATGAAACAAGTAGATATTATCCATCACAGAGCAATGTAGGAATATTTTACACGTACAGCTACAGAGAGCTAGTTCATGCTCATATCTTACAGTATATGCAATGACAGCAACAATGGCATTAGTTCCTAGTGGATAGTTATCAAGATCACATTCGTCGTAGAATTTAGTACGAACCAATGGTGTCTGTGGAGTCTAAGAGATAGAGAAGGAGGCATAGAATTTAAGGAGGATAGATGCATTATACATTATTACTTGTAGTCTGTATAGTTTATTGTCCCCACGATGACCAAAGGAGTGAGTAGGAGTACCCATAGTTTGCTTTGCCATCTATTAATAAACAAAAGATAAGTATTAACATCAGAAAGTCAAATTAAAAATACATGCAGTACAGTAATCTACTCATATTCATAACTGTTAATTTATTAGAAAGAATTAACACCAAGCAAGCAGCTTGAGCATAATTACTACAACAGCCAAAAAGTGACAATTAAGATTACAATTTCACTTCCTATCAGTAACACCCACTCTCGCACTCTAAGGCATGTGATACGTGTAGTTGGTAAGTCAGCCAATGATTGCTCTCTCATTTTTCTAGTCATAATGCCGTTAGATGCAATGATGAAAGCTCTTAGTCAGTTATTAAATGTCTTAAGGAAAGGATGTGCAAGTATCATGAGCAAGATGGAGGCTGGATTCAAGAATGAGGTGATAATTGGAGAGACTGTGAGTGGAGTCTTCTGCCTGGAAGTGGCTGTTTAACTAAAGCAGATTCATTCATGGTTTGGTACCAACTTATATTCAATCTTTTTTTGGTATAATGTACTTTACAAATTTACAACAAATAATAAAATTCATTTAATTCTGTGTCTAAATTTGTGCAAGAGGGTAGCTGTTTTCTGAATTTCAAAACAGGGCAAAACAGCCCGACTATTAATAACAGTATAGTTAGTGTATAGTAAGTTCTCAAGGTGGAGCTCATTTGATAATGATTATTAGTATACAAAGTGTGATATTATTAATGTAGCTTTAAAATAGAATGAGCAGAGTAATCTACATTCTACCAAATAATTTAGCCTAATATAATGATATTATAAGGACATTTGTATAATATTTCATGACTCCTCCACGTTGCATAAGTGACGTAGTAATTAGAATAGCACGTGATACTAATTAGAATAACACGTGATACTACTAGGACAAAGAGAAAACACACGGCAGTGTCTTTTACACTTGAAAAGGCATAATCTGATGGTAAGCTACTTGATACAATACTCAAATTTCATTCTCATTATTTAGGATTTCAAAGAGTGTAGAGTAAGCCTACCAACAGACAGGTATCTGATGGTAAGCTACTTGATACAATACTCAAATTTCATTCTCATTATTTAGGAGCCTTTCAAAGAGTGTATAGTAAGCCTACCTGATAAATATAGTAAAATTTGATTTTCATTATTTAGGAGTATATTGAAGAGCGTTTCAAAGACTGTACAGTAAGCCTACCTGATAAATATACCATACTTCCTTAAATAAAAGCCAGGGCATCTATTTCCTAAAATGGTATTTGAGCCTCAAAAAAATTTTTTAAAATAATAATAATAAAGCTCAGGCCTAGAGTGAGATTAAAACCAGTGACCTCAAGCTTTTGACTTCAGGAACTTTAGGCAGTATCCACAAGGCTACCAAGTTACTTAAAGTCTAGATTTGCATATTTATAGTTTGGATTCTATTGCTACCCCAGCATTTATTCCCATCCGGCTTTTATTTAAGGATATACGGTACTTAAATTTGATTTTCATTATTTAGGAGCATGTCAAAGAGTTTGTCAACAAGTGTACAGTAAGCCTACCTGATAGATATGTATTCAATTTTGATTTTCATTATTCAGGAGTGTATTCGCAATTATCTAGGGCTAGCAGCCAATCAAGGCTGTCAAGATGCCAAAGATGCGTCATTGAGTGATATACGTATTGATTATCCACAAACTCCAGGTAAAAATAAAGCCAATCAAAGTTGTCAAGATGCCAGAGACGAGGAATTTCGTGGAGTAACCATTGATGAAATTGATCCAGATGCTTTCGTCATTCCAGAAAAAAAGAAAGCCAAAAACAATTAGCTCTAAACAATCTGCTATGTGAAACCCCCCAATTTTGCTGGTATTGTATAATAACTTTAATTTGATGGAATTTTGTTTTGGCAGTTGATGATTTGCTAGCAAAAATCGCCACTATCAAAACTGTCAATCATTAAAGCGCATGCTCAGTTACACAAAATCACCAAATTTAAAACTACTGATTTTACAGTAAAATTGCCAAAATAAAGAGCTACCAAAATAAGGCACTATACAGTATGTGTAAAAATTAAAGTCCAATATTTTACCTGACACTGATAAATATTTCTCGGGCTTGGATTAAAATCAGTAAATGGAGTGAGACTGGCAACAGCACTGAGGATAGAATCATCAGATACTTCTTTATGAGTAGTGACCTGTAACAACAAGTGCATATGACTATCACATAACTAATATAAAACACATGTCCATACATTAGGGTGTATGTCACTTTCCGATACAGCAATATCCATATACACCTGAAAGAAGGGACAAGAGAGTTAAAACATAATACATGCGCTATAATTAAATGAGACCTGTTCAAAAGAGCCAATGAGTTCCATTGTATTAGTAGCAAGGTTAATGACAGGTCTCATCATTCTTGATGGAGTAGTAAACAGGAATATACCAGGGAACTGACCACCTTTACTTAGTGGGACATAACCGATCTCTAATGTTGATGGAACCTATTTTGCATATAATAATAAAATAATATAATTATAATGAGTATGTACATGTATTACATGTACCTCTTGTGTTCTAGTTGCTTTTAAGTGTCTCAATTGTCTAACGAATCTTGGAGTATCAGAGCTCTTGACCACACCCAGGACACGCCCATTTAATATAACATCAAGAGCTGATGAAGAGGAGGGAACTTCAAGAGGAGACACCAACGGAATCATCCCAAGAGATGATAAGAGCTTGGGAAGCTTCCGTACGTTTGGTATTGTAGTAACAACCTAATACCGTATAGTGGGAAATTTGGAGGGAATTAAATTCGGCAAATTCGCATTTTGATAGCAATTTGCTAAAATAAAAATCCACCATTTTGAGCCATTATGCGCATGCTCAATGGCACGTGGCCACAAATTTGCCAAGCCAATCACCAAAACTTAGCAATGCGACAAATTTTACTCCCTCCAAAATTTCCCACTATACGGTAACAATAATACCATATAAGGCATGTGTGATCACACCCACCTGACATTTGGAGGAAAGATGATTGAGTAAGCCACACGGGGCACCATCAGGAGAATGGACAGGACAAATAAAACCTGTCGTTATTACTATTATTTAAGCAATGATTATATCTGATACTTACCCCATGCTTCTGGGAGGAGTTTCCTCACCTCAGTGCTCTTCATCTGGGCAAAGAATGCTCCACGATGGACGGCACGAAAATGAGAAATATAACGAAAGAAATTCAACTTGTCAGCGACGATACTGAATCCACTCATCTGCAATGAAAATAAATAAATATAATATTAATAATTATTATAGCACCTGTTGAAGGTTGAGCCCAGTGTTAGTACGAAGATATCCAGTGGCAAGGAAAGTCTCCATTATTGTTGCTATAGGCACTGTCTTCTTTGGTTCTAGAATACGCTTCAAAGCACTAGCTAAAAGAAAAAAGGAGAAAATAATTCCCTCCCTCCTTTCCTCTCTTACTGTCAGTAACAGAGAATTCATCAGGGTTTGCCTCATACTTCCTTTCAACCTCAGATTGAACTTTCCTCAAAAAATCCTCCATCTTTTCCTTTTACAAAAAGTAGCAAGCTAACAAGAGACAGTAGTAGCTGTACCTTTAAATACATGAGATAAAGGTGACCTCCTAACAGTATCTCTTGGTTCATTGGTGAATCAGCTGTCTCCGCCATACACTGACCATTAGCTAGTGCATATGTTTTCCTGGCCATAAAACTACATGTACGTTATAGAAAGAGAGAAGAGATAAAGGAGAAAACTAATAATAATACAATTTTTGCTGCTCCCCTTACATCAACATGTTGAATTTGTCGGTATTTTTATCCAAATGTACACAAATATGATTCCTGCAAAAAAACATATAGTATTACATATCATAAGATGATAAGTGAGAACACACACACATGTACATATACACATACATATATACCCTGTCATGCCAAGTTTAGAGCAACTTTATAAATCAAAATTTAATCAGTATTAGTTCAAACTTTCTACACAACTTATGCATTAGAGAATGTAACAAAAAAATAATTTTCTCCAAAATTAGATTTTTTTACAAATTTTTTAAGTTGCTCCAAAATTGGGCTAAAATATGGGCTTTGGCCAAATTTCAATTACTATTATAATACTATCACACTAGTGTCACTATTACAGTACTCAATCTCTAAATAATGCCCACCTTATTAACTCATGGCATATCTCTTCAGCTGTGACCCAGGGAGGAAGATTAAACTTGAAACGAAATCTATCTCCAAGATACCTCAAGGCATCAGCTCTAGTGAGCACTTCAGTTTGACAATCATGAAGCATAGCAGCAACACAACTAGAGGCCAACAACAAGTACTACAGTATAATATTAAAATAATTTCACCCTTTCAAGAATGCATCATCTTCCTTCCCTTTTGTCATTTCAGTAAATATGAAAAGGTCACTGACAGATATTAATGCCTAGCAAAACCAATTACTGGGATTATGCATTCCATGTACTTTAAGTATGTAAATGATGCTCATGTAGAACTGCTCCTTATTCCTACTAAAGGCTAGGGTCAAGGAGCCATTGGAGCAATAATGAAGTGTCATATTCTAAACAACAAGAAAGAGAATAGAATAATACTGGCACAAAGTCACTTACACATTGAGTCTGATCTTTCTTGACACACCTCATGGTACAGCCATACTCAGTAGAAAAAGGAACTTTACCAATCCAAGACGGTCTAATGATAGCTATAGGCTACACACAAAAAAATTAACAAGCAATACACGTTGTAGGTAAAGGAGGATTCTCAATATAAAGCCTGCTATAGCTAGCATCACAAGTTTCATGACTGCAAGTGCAGTAGAAACAAAAGGGAACAAGCGTTAATGCATCAGACTTTAGTCTGACGCATTGATGCCTCCCACTTGTTTGTACAGCATTTCCAGTCGTGATGCTAGCTATAGCAGGCTTCATATTGAGAACCCACCTTTACATAAATAAATACATAGCACTAACTCACATAATTCCTACGTGGCATGATTAGCATTCTTAAAAGCTTCTCGTTTCCATTGATAATAAAGTACCCACCCATTTCCTATGAAGTGGAAGGATTAATAGGTCCTATGTATTAAATGGCATATTTTACTTCACTTTCTTCATGATGCTTTACCAATTCCTCTGGACTCATGCCATACAGTCTACACCTATTAGACTATATACAAACAATATTGTATAATATTAATGATCATCTTACTTTGACCATGATGGGTACTTGACCCATTGGTACATTTACTGTATTAACAATGGACTTTTCAATCATGAAGGTTACTGTTAACATTAGTGGGGCTTTATATGACACGCCCCTCTCCCTACACTCCGATGGATAAATATTCACTGACTTCACGTGTATATTGGATTCTGGTAGCGTCGGATAACCAATTTCTGCATTCTATAAAAAATTTGAAACATGCACACCATTTGTCTACATTACTTCAATGAATATTTCTACTTTCTGCCCGCGTGGATCTAAAAGTTCTCGTGACCTCAAGTCCTTATTATTAGAAATAATTATAAAGTTCAATTAATACATATTCACCTCTACAGCATATTTTAATCCTTCATCAACAGCAAAATCAAATGCTTCAATATGGTGTCTGGTTAGTGCCTGGAGTGACTGAGAGAGGGATGATGAGTTATACACGTTATTAGTACCTCTATTTGATGGGGATTAAGCTTGCCAAACCCTCCAGATGTCAAATGCTTTAGAAAAGGATCCCTGCCCTTATTTTGTGTGGTATTTCTTGATTCTTTTGGCATCGTGATAACACGTGGTAGACTTGAACAAACCAAAGGGTTAAGTTATGAAATTGATCTTGTAGGAGTGGCACAAGTTAAATTTAGTTACTGAATTCATTTTTAAGCCTTCAGGGCCTAGATGAATGAAATGGAAAAATCTATTCCTGAAATGAATATTAAGTCTTGTTCCTTGCATTCAGTAGTAGTGTATAAAGACAGGGCAGAGGTGAAGAGGAATGTCTCTGTATTTCTTAAAGCTGGAGAGACTGAACTGAAACTCACTGGCCTGTCAAAATCAGTTGACAGTGACTCCATTCGGTAACTGAATATGATAATAAATTAAAATAATATAATAATAGTCTGGGTAAAAGCGTAGTCATAGAATTAAATTTTAAGTTGAATACATTCTTAATGAAAATGAAAATTATTGAGTACTGTATACATGTAATTAACAATATTTTTGTGTATTGTAGTGTTGAAGGCCGTGGTAATGCTACCATTGTTGATGTAATTTATGAGACGAGTGAAGAAAAATCCTCTGATGCTGAGCAAAATAATGAAGAATTCCAGTCATTGGAACGAGAGCTGGAGGAGAAAGAGAAAGAGCTGAGTTTCATTAAATATCGCCAGACTCTTATCGAGCGCCAGAAGAGAATGTTGAAAGAAATTGCTGAGCATGTGACATCTGAGAAAAAGAGTGATTCTGATAAGGTTGTTATTAACAATTTCATGATGAGTTTATTCAAGAGTGTGTATTAGGATGTACATTTTCAGTCTAACTTGAGTCCAGTGTCTGTTGAAGGAGTGATGGTCTTCATGAGGAGGTATGAAGAAAAGATGGCAGATCTGGACGAGCGTTTGTTTCACCTCAACTCCAATGAGAAGAAGATGGAGGCTGAGATTGGAGTTTTGAAAGAAAAGTCGTCTCAAATTATGGCCAAATCTGGTACTGGAAAGGAAACTGTTAGGTAAATGATTTTTATTAGTAATTTTATTTATTATAAATGTTTAATAGAAGTGTCCGTGTAGTTCTCAAAGCTGCAGAGGATTCTGATGTTGTCATTATTGTTTCTTATGTCATCAACAATGCTTCCTGGTCTCCTCTATATGATGCAAGGGTATTCACTAAAGACAAAACCATGAAGGTACACTTGTAGTTTTAAACCTCCTTAGGTAATACTGTATACCGGAAATTTTTGTGGCCCAAAGTTTTCATAGATTTGGCTTTTTTTCAAAATTCACGAAAATGACATCTGTGAAAATTGATTTAATATGGTTCAAGATGGCCAAAAGTAGAAAATCACGAAAATTAAAACCATGAAATTAATTTTTGGATGGATCTGAGAAATTTTTGGGCTACGGAAATTTTCCACTATATGGTAATTGCAAGAATACATATAGCATGGGTGGGGTAATTAAATTAGGGGTTCTGGTAGGATACCTAAGGTGTAATAAGACATAAGGTGTTGTGAAAAGTACCAAATTTTGGGTAAAAATTGTCACCTTAGTAAAACTTTTCACCCAATTTTAAGCTACATTGTACTTCAATTGAATTAATCATGGACCTATCATGCTGATATACACATGTATATAGATATGATTATATATATTTTTATATTTATCAAATAAGACTACATAATCTTTTCCATTTTATCTTGTTCTCTCTCCTCCTTTTGTCTCCCTACAGCTTCATTACTATGGTTTAATAAAGCAGTCCACTGGAGAGGACTGGGACAATGCCAGTATATCTCTCTCAACTGCCCAGCCTGACATTGGAGGATCACCTCCTTCACTTGAAGTGCACCACATTGGATTTGAGAGAGCACGATTTGTTACACGACACGCAAAAGCTATGGTAAGTTTGTATGATGCCATTATCATTAAACTGAGATGTATTATTTGTAATGCCATTTACAAATAAGTGTGCTTGAATTTGAAATATGTGTTATATTGCATTTTCATCACAGGGTTCTGCCTAGAAAAAAATTAGAGGTGGTTGGAGACTAATATTATTTTTTTTAAGTTAATGTACACCATACTGACTCTTGCTAATATCATGCTTTATGTATGGTTATTAGTAACAATTGGATGGTTGGTCTAAGTGATACAAATGTATATGCTACATGTATGATTTGCCTAAATGGTAACTTGCACTTTGTACTGTTGCTGTCTTACCAACCCTTTATGTTAGTATGTTATTTTTTTACAGAAAGGAATGTCATTTGGGATGTCATTAGGATCATCATCCAGTGTCTCTAGAAATAAAATGCGAGGTTCATACATGGATGATGACGTCATGATTCTTGATAGTTATGCTGCTCCACAGCCTCAACTTGAAGTTGACGAATCAAAGGTAACGACATACATGTACATGTATGCTTACTATGCTAGTAACACTACACTATGTATTCCTTTGTTAGGTTGCTACAGGTCAGTTATACAATGCTTCATTCACTATCCCACGTACTGCCTCCATACCATCTGATAACACTGAACATAAAGTAAGTATCTTTTATGATATCTCTCTCTCTTTATTTCCACTCTGTCTTTCTAATCTCTATACCTCTTCCCTCTCTCTCTACAGGTAACAGTTGCTATTATTGACATGGAGCCTGATTTTAGTTACACTAGTGTGCCAAGGCTCTCTTCCTCTACTTTCTTGCAAGCAGCTGTCAAGAACTCTTCAAATTACACTTTGCTTGGTGGACCAGCTAATATATTTCTGGACAATAACTTCCTCTCTAAAGTAAATCAATGGCCACTGCATCATCAAATTATGCTGTTGTGAAATTTAATCTCATGCTATTTTTCACATTTATTATTTTATCATTTAATTAATTTTCTCATTTATTTTGTTTTTCATTTCCATAGTCTACTATACCCAGTACATCACCCAATGAAGAGTTCACTACTAGCCTTGGTGTTGATGATAGCATACGAATTACTGTACAACCAATGAACATAGTCCGGGGAACAGCTGGTAAAAGATTATTACATGTTATAACTCACAGACATCCATCAAATGCATGTAATAATTATATACATTTTGTTATTGTTATAATGATTTTATAGGTCGTATTAGTAAGAATAATCATTTGATGTACTCATTTGTGTATATTGTAAAGAACACTCAAGCTAATGTAGCCAAAGTGAAAGTATTGGAACAGATACCATTGAGCTCTGATGATAAACTAAAGGTTTGCAATAATTATGATATAAATATGAGCATGACAATACTGATGAAACTATAATAGGATTGTACAATTCAACTATCTGCAAATATGCAATTAACTCTCAAAATGCTAAAATTTGACTATGAATACTTGATTCACACAACCTTCATTAACCAAATTCCACCAATTCAAAATTCAAAAGTCTATAGAAAGGAGTTTTTTAACTTTCGTGATTGCCAAAAAAATTAATACTAAAACTTTGTCAACCTGTTTATGATGCATAAATATAATACTACATTATTGTTATTTTAGGTTGTGGTTCATGATCCTGAATTGAAGAAACCGAACATCAATGTTTCCTTTTCTCATGGTCACTGTGTCCTCAATGATGATAATAATATCGAGTGGCATTGTACTATACCACCAGACACATCAGTTGAGCTCTCTCTTGTGTATAGTATAGACTTTCCTCCCAATGATATGGTAGCTGGACTCCCTAACTGCTGAACAAGGAACAAATTTTAATTCTTTAGTAGTATAATAAATTTTTAGTTTTAGCATTTTTATTGGTTCCTCTTATAAATTTTTCTTACACTTGTGTGGGCTTAGTCGGGCTTAGTATGGCTTTATTTTAAGGGCCATGATGAATGAAATCATAGATAGTAGAGGAAATCGAGTGGAATGGAGGGGTCTATTTCTGAAATGAATATCAAGTCTTGTTCCTTGCATTCAGTAGTAGTGTATAAAGACAGGGCAGAGGTGAAGAGGAATGTCTCTGTATTTCTTAAAGCTGGAGAGACTGAACTGAAACTCACTGGCCTATCAAAATCAGTTGACAGTGACTCCATTCGGTAACTAAATATATACCTCGATATATAATAGACTAAATAATAGTCTGTGTAAAAGCGCAGTCGTAGATAAATAATTAAATTTTAAATTGAACACATTCTTAATGAAAATGAAATCATACGATACTCTATAATTTTATTACATGTAGTTAAGAATATTGTTGTGTATAATAGTGTTGAAGGCTGTGGTAATGCTACCATTGTTGATGTAATTTATGAGATGAGTGAAGAAAAATCCTCTGATGCTGAGCAGAAGAATGAAGAATTCCAGTCATTGGAACGAGAGCTGGAAGAGAAAGAGAAAGAGCTGAGTTTTATTAAGTATCGTCACACCCTGATTGAGCGCCAGAAAGGGATGTTGAAAGAAATTGCTGAACATGTGACATCTGAGAAAAAGAGTGATTCTGACAAGGTGGTTAGTTTTTTTACCATTTCATGATGAGTTCATTCAACAATGTGTGTTTGTGTGTGTATTTATTAGGATGTACATTTTCAGTCTAACTTGAGTCCAGTGTCTATTAAAGGAGTGATGATCTTCATGAGGAGGTATGAAGACAAGATGGCTGATCTGGACGAGCGTTTGTTTCACCTCAACTCTCACGAAAAGAAGATGGAGGCTGAGATTGGGGTTTTGAAAGAAAAGTCTTCTCAACTTATGGCCAAATCTGGTACTGGGAAGGAAACAGTTAGGTAAGGGATTTTTATTTGTAAATTTTATTTATTATAAATGTTTTATAGAAGTGTCCGTATAGTTCTCAAAGCTGCAGAGGATTCTGATGTTATCATTATTGTTTCTTATGTCATCAACAATGCTTCCTGGTCCCCTCTATATGATGCAAGGGTATTCACTAAAGACAAAACCATGAAGGTACACTCTAGTTATAGACCTCCTTGGGTAATTATTGCTTACGTATTATGAATACATACAGCATGGGTGGGGTAATTAGGGGGTGTGGTAGGATATCTAAAGTATAGTAGGATGTAAGGTGTGATAATTTTGAGGTGAAAATTAGGAATTATTTTGGTGAAAACTTTTCACCCAATTTTAAGTGAAAATTACTTTTCATCTATATTGTATTTTTATCTACATTGTACTTCGACCAAATTAATTGTGCACTTATCATGCACATACACATGTAAGTACAATTATATTTCTTTTTTATATTCATTTATTTATCCCTCAAATAAGACTACATAATCTTTTCCATTTTATCTTGTTCTCTCTCCTCCTTTTGTCTCCCTACAGCTTCATTACTATGGTTTAATAAAGCAGTCCACAGGAGAGGACTGGGACAATGCCAGTATATCCCTCTCAACTGCCCAGCCTGATATTGGAGGATCACCTCCTTCACTTGAAGTGCACCACATTGGATTTGAGAGAGCACGATTTGTTACACGAGGAAAATCTGTAAGTAATTGGGTAGGTTTGTATGACTATGATGTCTTATCATTAAACTGGTATGTATTGGTTGTAATTCCATTTATAAATAAGTGTGCTTGAATTTGAGATCTGTGTTGTATTGCACTTTGTACTGTTGTCTCTGGCATGCCGTCTTACCAACCCTTTATGTTAGTATATCGTATAAATGGAATATTTTACTACTGCCTTTATTATATAATTTTAAAATTTATACACGTTTTTAATTTTGTGGTTTAGATGTGAGCTACTATAAATTAATATAACTAACAAAAATTAAATTTTATTTTATTCTTTTATCGAAAAATTAAAGTCATCTTAAAATGTTCCACTTTTATGGTACATGTATGTTATTTTTTACAGAGAGGAGTGTCACTTGGCATGACAGCGATGTCACTGTCAAGTGCATCATCCAGAGTCCCTAGAAATAGAAGGCAAGCTCCAGACATACATGAATATGGTGAGCCTCATAAAGACTTATTTTCTGGTTCTGCTCCTCGCCGGTCTGCTCCACTTGAAGTTGATGAATCTAAGGTAACAACATGCATGTATATGTACTCTTTCCACCCTAGTAATCATGCTACACTATTTATCCCTTTGTTAGGTTGCTACAGGTCAGTTATACAATGCTTCATTCACTATCCCACGTACTGCCTCCATACCGTCTGATAACACTGAACATAAAGTAAGTATCTTTTATGCTATCTTTCCCTCTTTATTTCCAATCTACATGTATCTTTCTAATCCCTTTACCTCAGGTAACAGTTGCTATTATTGACTTGGAGCCTGATTTTAGCTATACTAGTGTGCCAAGGCTCTCTTCCTCTACTTTCTTGCAAGCAGCTGTAAAGAACTCTTCAGAATACGCTTTGCTTGGTGGACCAGCTAATATATTTCTGGACAATAACTTCCTCTCTAAAGTAAACCAATGGCCACTGCATCGTCAAGTCATGCTGTTTTAAAATTTAATCTCATATGCTATTTTTTACATTTATTATTTTATCATTTATTTTTATTTTATCATTTAATTAATTTTATCATTTATTTTGTTTTTCATTTCCATAGTCTACTATACCCAGTACATCACCCAATGAGGAGTTCACTACTAGCCTTGGTGTTGATGATAGCATACGTATTATTGTACAACCAATGAACATAGTCCGGGGAACAGCTGGTAAGAGATTATTACATGCTATAACTCACAGACATCCATCAAATGCATGTAATAATTATATACATTTTGTTATTGTTATAATGATTTTATAGGTCGTATTAGTAAGAATAATCATTTGATGTACAGATTTGTGTATATTGTGAAGAACACTCAAGCTAATGTAGCCAAAGTGAAAGTATTAGAACAAATACCATTGAGCTCTGATGATAAACTGAAGGTTTGCAATAATTATGACAATAATACTGATGAAACTATAATAGGATTGTACAATTCAACTATCTGCAAATATGCAACTCTCAAAATGCTAAAATTTGACTATATGAATACTTGATTCACACAACCTTCATTAACCAAATTCCACCAATTCAAAATTCAAAAGTCTATAGAAAGGAGTTTTTTAACTTTCGTGATTGCCAAAAAAATTAATACTAAAACTTTGTCAACCTGTTTATGATGCATAAATATAATACTACATTATTGTTATTTTAGGTCGTGGTTCATGATCCTGAATTGAAGAAACCGAACATCAATGTTCCCTTTTCTCATGGTCACTGTGTCCTCAATGATGATAATAATATCGAGTGGCATTGTACTATACCACCAGACACATCAGTTGAGCTCTCTCTTGTGTATAGTATAGACTTTCCTCCCAATGATATGGTAACTGGACTCCCTAACTGCTGAACAAGGAACAAATTTTAATTCTTTAGTAGTATAATAAATTTTTAGTTTTTAGCATTTTTTGTTAGTTTCTCGTATAAATTTTTGTTACACGTGGTGGGTGTGGTTTGTAGGAGACCCACCCACTTTTGCCAAAAATTGAAAATCCAATGAGTGAGTTCTTTTCTTTCCTTTTAGAAATTTACAAAGGAAGCATGTTGTTGAGAGCTATCATTTATGATTTTATTTATAAATGTTAATGTTTTTGTATTCATTCTCTTTTAGTGGTGGAAAGAAGCTTACAGACCACACCAACTAGACGGAAACACAACCTTAGCTTGAAAGCTGCCAGTAGAAGACACTCGAGACAAAAGTCTTCTCAACAGTCGACCCAGGAAAGCACAATTGGTAGGATTAGTAATAATATATCACAGACGCTTTCTTTACTTGGTGATAGAGCCACCTTTTGTATCCCCACCTCCACTTGAGATCAGTGAGGACTCTAATTTAAATTTTGATGTCGTTTGGGATGATAGACAAGATATTCCCTCACCGAGTTCCAGTGAGCTCTAATTTAGTATTGTTTATGTTATAAGGATTTTGTTTTACTCATAGGTTATGCACGTATTGACTTTGAGAAAATATTGAAAAGCTTTCCTGATGTGGTAAGATATTTTTTGTAAGATAGTGCTTTCATGAAAGATATGGTAATAGTGTACAAATTTTATGGGGTCTCAAAAGAAAGAAAATAATTATCTTTAAAAACCAAAATAATTTTTAATTATTGACCACGCCTCCGACACGCCTTTAATCTACGGGTTAAAGATGGATGCTGATATTGAAGCTCTCTTTCAAGGCTCAGCGAAACGTTTCTCGGAGACCGAGGAAGAGCGAGAGAGACGGCTCAGACGAGACAGGGAGAGAAGAAGGATAAGGCGGTCCCTGGAGTCCGTAGAGGAAAAAGAGACCCGACTAGCCCAGGACAGGCTGAGGAGACGGAGCCGACTCGCCATCGAGTCGCCACAACAGAAAGAAAGGAGACTAGCGAACGACAGGGACAGGAGAAAGAAACGACTAGCCATAGAGACAGAGGAACAGAAACAGATGCGGCTTGCGCGCCAGAGAGCGCACAGACAAGAAAGACTCTCGAGTGAGAGTGAGGAGCAAAGGATCAGAAGACTAGAACTAGACAAGGTACGGAGACAAAAAAGATTATCAAGAGAGACCCCAGAGCAAAGGCAAAGGAGACTAGACCTTGATAAGATGAGGCGAAGACTACGAAATGAGAGGCACTCTCTCTCCAATGATAATTATGAGCTACATTCTCTCTCCAGCGATCCATCTTCTGACTGTGCCACACACTCCAATGGAGGACCTGAGTCCAGGGATAACGACAACGACTTTGATCTAACGCAACAAGTTCTCTCTTTTGGTGACAACCTTTTAGGACACATTCACTGACAATTGTGCACACAAGCAATATAATAATAATAATTTGTGTAGTATATTCATTATCGTTCATTCAAATAGTTTCTCATCTGTTGTATTATAATAACAAACAAGAAAAAATAATACAATAATGATGCCTGGTTTGAGAAAAGCATTACTTGTATAGCCTGCTCTTATCTATTCTCTGTAATTACAGACATATACTCGCACACTATTGTGTTTAGTAATGGGACTATTGTTTTACTTGAAAGTAGCACACACACGTACACCAAAGCACTTGTTTACTTACTCACTTGTCACTCACCTAATACACACACTCATTAGCACCAATGGCAGGTATGTGGTGGGTACACATACATAAAGCTGGAATACTTTACTGCCTTTATTATGTAATTTTTAAATTTTTATGTGTTTTTTAATTTTACGGTTTGCATGTGAGCTATTATAAATTAGTATGACTATAACTGCTTTTTATTTTGCTTTTTTCTTTTATCGTAAAATTAAAGTCACCTTAAAACATTTCGCTTTCACAGTATTTGTTTTTTCTTTTGCATAGGAAAGTCCTGTATCAAGAAAGCAGATTATGTCACTAACAGGAATGGAGAGCCAAAGGAAGGAGAGCACCCCATCATCGATTGAAAGAAGGTGTGTGTGTGTGTGTGTGTGTGTGTGTGTGTGTGTCCATTTGTGTACATGTGTTTTCCTGTCTGTGTCTGTGGTCTGTATGTGTGTGGCTTGTGTGTGTGTCCCACTGTTTATGCATGCATGCATGCATTATAGTAGTTCTGGGAAATTTTAAATTCACTTTTTTATTTAATATCTGCTTTATTAGAAAGTGGAGGCGATGGAGCAATGATAATAGCACAGAATCACTAGCACGTCTTTGTAATTTAGCAGCAACTCTGACTGCTCCCAGCAATAAGGCCAAGTTGGAAAACCCTTGTTCAAAGAGCGATGGAGAGAACTGCAAAGAACAAGACAGTCTCAGTGAGTATCTAGAAGACAGCTTCATGGATCATAGTAGCATCGTACAATGTCTAAACGATTCATTTGATGACTTTACTAGTCCTAGTGATGGTACAGTAACTCCACCTACACTGCACAGAGAAGCAAATCAAATCAAACTCAGCACCACCACATGTACTAATGCTAGTATTAAACCCACCAGTATAGCAGCTCTACCACCTTCACAACCTAATACCCATCATCCTACTACTTCTGGCATCAGTCATTCTCAAGGGATCAAAAAGAGCATGGACCATCATGTTGTTAATAAAACTGGGTCACATTGTCCTGTTACATCGACAAGAAATATTCATCATAATGGTAGTGCTACTAATCCTGTACGGTCAATGGAAAATCAATACCGTCCTTCTAGACTTTTTTCTAATTCAACGAGAGGTTCTGTTCTTCAAAATACCTACCATAATCATCAAGATAGGCATGCACCCTGTTTGTCATCCCATCCCCATTCTGTTAGACTCAACTCTACTTCTTCTGCTTCTCATTCCAAACCTCAAAATGCAATCAGTTCAACAGCCAAGCCCACACACACATACTCATCTCATCCTTCCAATGATAAAATCAATTACTCATCATCACAGTTTAATGAGATCAAAGGTAAGAGGAGAGTAAGCCCTAGTGCTGTTGCTCCCCTTAAAGGAAGTCCTTATGCCCAACAGAAACCTATTGGGGGTGCCAGTGATGATGTCAAAGATAATGAAAGTGAAACTGATGATGATGACTTTTGGACAAAAGTAGCACTGTCAGTTGATAAGCTTGAGGAGGAGGAGGCTGAGACTGATGATAATGGTGACAAGCTTTTGGCCTCTCTAGATGAAAAAGCTGTCGATGAATTGTTCACTTTTGACGATGACATTGAAAATAAAGATCTACCTAAACGAAGTATGAGATAATCCTTTATCTTAATTACTTATCATCCTCATCTCTTTCTATAGTGTGTAGTCAGGAAGACATTCAACGAAAGAAGCTTCAGGCAAAGAGGAAACTTCAAAGGAGGTACAAGACCTCTTGAATCAGCTGTTTTCCCTTCATTTCATTATAATTCTATTATTATCAACCTTTCATTTTTGCATAGTATCCTTTTATAATTCTAGTGTCTTTGAATCTACTGTATCTCTCTCTCTGCTTATTTATATCATTATCAAATCAACTATTTAATCCACACCATTTTATTATAACACAAGTCGATCATAGTATGTTAACCAATGCAATAGCACTTTATAACCAATACAACAATCATTGACATTAAATTTTATTATTGTATCTTATTTAATTTCAGTAGCCACTGAGATACAAGCTATAGTCTATGACATGCTTTGGACAAATTTATAGTCTATTGCCAATGAATGTGTGTATGAGAATTATGTCTTTAAAAGACTGTTTACTGTCTAGCTACTGCTGAGCTAGTAGTTGCTTTGATTACTGTCTAATGGAGGGATAAACAATGGAAGACAACTGTCGATATTTTCAGATACATTGTGATGTCCATTACTATAGAAGTTTGAGCTGTTGTTGCTAATTTTTTAGTTAACCTATGGGCATTTTAAAGGGTTATTGGTATATATATAGTACTCAACACCTTGTCAGGAAAGTTGCTAGGATAGATTTTTATATTTTTCATGCATACACATTGTGTACATGTTCTTAGGTAGCTTAAGAATTTTGAGATGATTCTGATCAAAATGGATTTTTTTACAAATTTTCTAAAATCTGGTCAAAGACCCTGTACTATTGCTTGTTCACATAATATCATTAAAGAGTATGTTATCTTTGGATTAAAAGTAGTACACAATATAGTCATATATATATATATATATACAAAAATAAAACAATACTTATCTTGATTTTTAAAAATTCAAAGTTTCTTTCCATGTATCTTCTCCTGGCAACATTTGCTTGGCAGGGCAGACCAGTTATAATGATAAGTATGTTCATTCTCGTACTCTTTTGTACAGTAAGCTTGACCATTCATCCTATACACGCTGTACATCTCTCTCATCTGAGCTAGGGAGGCTACTGGAGTAATGGAGTAACTGTTCAAGCAGCCACGACTTCTTTCCAGGCTTGTATCAAACCCGGTGTCATGTACAAACTTGATGTCTTTAAAAGGACTGCACCAGAGGCCAATGCTGGCTCCTTCGTTATTGTAATAATAAAGATAGCTCTTAGCTTTGAGGAATCGCTCAATTAATCCAGATGACAGTATGTATCCACCATCGTCAGCATGGACTGCATATGATGGGCAATGAAACCAAGAGGAGCTGTCACTTCCCTCTATTTCCTTGTTACCGCGAAAGTAACCAAGATAGAGCTCTAAGTCGAACTGATTGTGAGAGTGTATGAGGCTCATTATCTCGCGAGGTTTCACAAAGTATTTGTCATGGGTTCTGAGCAAGAATGAGAAATTGAAAAGTTTCTGGACCCAGTAGAGGTAGTGGACGAGGCAGGAGCTCTTTGGATGAGATGAACTCACGCGATTGAATATAATCATGTCTTTGTGTTCTTTACTCTCATTCATTAATAAAGAGCTATGTCCTTCTCTTACAGCAAACAATAGTAATGTCTCCTCACCTAGTGAAGCATGACTTCCCCACGTTTCCCTAATCCCCATACGCCATTCCTCCCCTTTTGTAGATTCTACTAGCACCAAAAGCTTTAGGGTGACATTGTTTGTGTGAATATGGTGAGTGATGGAATCCTTCTCGTCCAGTTGATCTAAATCCGTTATACAGGACGGAATCCCTTCAATATGGCGAATTTTTGTGTATTTGTAGTAGGCCGAGTTTTTGTCTTGCTTTTTTATCGTTATGCTGCTCCCAAGACTCACCAAGAGAGAGAGAAAGAGAGACCAATACAGCGTCCTGTTTGACGCCATTTTGTTTTGCTTTTATAACCCCGCCCAGTGACACACCCAAAATAAAAATGGAGTCTGAAGAAGAACAGAGGAGGAAGAGGCTTGAGTTTCGTAAGATGTTGCTGAAAGTATCTGAGGGACTGACTTCAGAAAACGTGGCTGATCTTAAGCATCTCTTGAGGGGGGATATTGTTCAGTCTAAATTAGAAGGTTCTTCGAGAGGAATTGACATTTTTGAATTACTCATTGAGAAAAGTAAAAATCATAAAAATACTATTTAAAAATATATCGTAACCCACAGACTCCATTAGTTCTGATAACATTGGGTATTTAAAGGACTGTCTTGATTTTCTTGATCGAAAAGACTTAATAGCTGATCTTGTAAAGCCATACGAAGAACGAGGTATCCTATTTTGATAATTAATGGAAAATGCACTGTATTCTTTAACAATTCTAGGTTCCATAACTCGAATGACTCGTCACAAGATAAGAGATGACCTTGACCTCAATACTGTGGTTTTAACTGAGATTGGTAAAGAAGTGGGCAAGGACTGGAAGATGCTGGCTCGTCATTTGTCTGTCCCTGAGCCGGACATTGAGCAAATTAATAATCAGTACTTCAGGGACCTTCACGAGGCTTCCTATCAAGCACTTGTGAGGTAAAAGCTATTATAAATTATAAAGAAATATGGTCATCACTTTGTGAAGTGTCTTGTTTGAATTAGTGATTTGTTTGAAATTGTTTCTCTATTTTTTCTGTGTTCAGGTGGAAAGACAAAAAAGGAGACAGGGCAACGGCCAAGGTTCTCAAACGGGCGTTGGAAGATATGAGACTCATGGGTGTGGTCAGTAAATACTTTGATGTTTAGATCAACGGATATTTCATTCATCAAACAGCATACTTTATTTTCACTTTAACTTATTTCGCTTTGTGTCCAGTATGTTAGATGTTATTTGTACCTCTTATACCTGTTTCCGAATCATTAGTAACTGTACAGAGTTTAATTTTTAAATTTAATTATCATAATTATTCATCTCTTTTTGTTATTTGCACCGTTAACTTTTAAAATATATCTGTTAGTCTAGGAGAGAATTATTACAGTTTCTGGTACATGCATGTAGATGTTGAGTCTGGCCCCGCCTCTTCATCCCATGCAATGAAGAGGCAGGGCCAGACTAGTAGATTAATTTTTGCACATTATTAAAATTACTTTAAAAATTTGGCCACTAAAAGGGGAAGATTTGTAAACAAATCTATTACTATTACTATTACTATTACTATTACTATTACTATTACTGGATATTGATAATCAATTCCTGATAATATAGATAGCCATTGAAGTTCAATGGACCTTATGTAAACTACAAGCATCATGTTACAACCCTATTGTACTATGATAAATAAACATTCTCATGCTTAAATGATATTCACTGTTTCCAAGAATCAAAGTAGTAAAGAACTGTGTGTGTGTGTGTGTGTGATAGTACTAACAAGGCGTGTTTATATTTAAAAAATACTTAGTATCATAAAACTAAGCAAAATACTAATGCTAAAACAAATGCGATTTATATAATGTAGCTTGGTTTAAAGCAGTTTCTTGTTAGTTATTGCCGCCAGCTGCTATTATAGATATTAAAATTATCAACACTGCGACCCACCAGACACAGGCAACTATGTTTAAAATGAGAGCTACACGACCTTTGGAATTTGCTGATTCAAGGTCACCTTGACTTGCTGAAGTACGAGCCTAATAAATAAATTAATAATGAATGAATGAGTAAGCGCTTGAGGAGAAAGTTTTCTTACAGATGAAGCAACAATAATGGCTGGTATTGTGCAAAAGAGTGAATACCAAGTACCACAGAAGAGGCAAATAAAAGTGAGTATGATGGAGAGTGTTAGATAATAGTCCCCAACACTTTGAACAGTGTGAACAACAGCAGGAGTTGGTTGAGAAGTCACCACTACAACATTTGATGTCTAGAAACAAGATATATAATCTGTTTATTGGTGGAGTGATTCTTACTGATTGTTGTGTGACTACAGGTTGCTGCTGTGGGACTGGTGCTCCAGTGTAAGGTGGGGGAACATCTTGTGGGGGATATCCTCCTTGCTGCTGCTGTGGAGGATAGCCCTGCTGTGGAGGGTAGCCTTGTTGTGGGGGATATCCTTGTTGTGGAGGATAACCCTGTTGTGGAGGATATCCTTGTTGTGGAGGGTAACCTTGCTGTGGAGGGTATCCCTGCTGTTGTGGAGGGTATACAGGGTTTTCAACCTAAAGGAAAGTATTATACATAATTATTACAGCAATAGTTCAGTGTGCTTACTGGTACTTTGGTCTCAACACCTGCAGTGAGGGCATAAATGAAAAGAAATCAAATTAGGTACAACACATAGACTTTATATTACCATCCATGATCCTTGGTCTCTAGTATAAAGCTGGTAGAGGTTGTTAGGTAGAATAACTGTCCTTTTATGCTGTAATGTATGTTTGGGGCGGATAATCTTATAATATGAATATTGTTGCCAGTGTTTACACAGTCTGGAATTACCCTGGACTAGTAGGGTTAGCCTAATTATAGTGATGTGTGGATTCTGTGATAAGGTTATTACTCAGCCGTTCACTCATCAGTCACATTTCCCCAAATAATCATATAGACACACCATGGCCTTGAGACCAGCCTTATTTATCATATCAACATCCCTTATTGCTTGTTGTTACAACTCTCGTGACAGACCATATGAAATTAATGATAAATAAATTGAAGATTTGAATGCTAAATCTAATTGAACTCTGATGTTTATGATATGCATCAAACCACAACTTGCTGAAGGAATCCATTGATGTAGTTAGCAAGTGCCAGTTAGTCTAGAAAAGGTCTTATAAATGTCGACATGTGTAAAGAGAAGAAGTAGATGGCAAGGAAGTATAATAAAGTTAAAAGTCTTCACAGCACTCTACTCAAGCTATACTAGGTATTTAACGGCTTAAAACTAAGTATCAGTTGCATATATTTTGTGTCAGTGTGAAGCTGGAAATATTTACCTCCTCTGATAAGAAGGGAAGAAATCAAGGAGGGATGATTCTGGCTCTTGCTATTCTCATTGTTGGCTTGCTGCTCCCTGATGTGACTAGATCATGTTCCTGTAATAACCGTCAGCCGTTTGACTTGTCATCAAGGCTTCCTTGTGCTCACATGAATTCTGTCATTAGTGGCATTAGAGGGAAAAGGTATTGTAGACTCAGTATTTATTATAATTTGTTACTTTATTGCTTCATACTTACCCCACTTTTAAAGACTATTTGCACAGTTTTTTAACTACTAAATATTTTTGTCACTTTAACCCTTCTTGTTTTCAACTGAGAGTGCAGCTAACTGCACCAATACTGGCTTGTAATTTTTTCACACTCTATTAGCACCTCAATGTGTAAATAATGTGCCACAATAATTATTGAATCATCAAAAATTTTATTAATGCTTTGTTTTTTATAGTGTGTCTCAGTGCCAACCAGTTACTGTCACTACTCTTCTGCCTGGAATCCAAACATGTTCCCTCCCCTCTGCTTATAACCCACAGAATGATCAGTCCCTCCTTCATTCTCAAGGGAATGGCTACAGGTTTCATAGAATATTCCAACCTGGCTACCATCTTGATGAGTAAGAGCTTCATATAACATATAGACTACACATTATTATTAATATTGGTTCTCAATAGATGCTATGATGGTAATGTATTTTGTGCTTATAATGTGCAGTGTTCTTCCAATGAGGTATTGTATTATCATTTCTCAGCTCATGACATAGAAAACCCGACATCAACTGGTAAGCATATTCAGGATTTGTATCATTGACATTTCATTCAACTGTACAATAAGGTCAATGTCTTGATAGCATTAGCATCAATCGTCAATCATTTCCTAACCAGCCACAATCATCATGTGGTCGTGTGGGTATCAATGGAGCAAGTTATTCCACTTATAATGTTGTGCAGGATGGCTATGACATAGGAAGTCTAGATGCCACTTTTCGTTCAAATAGTAAATGCTCAGGAACAGGTTACTACTTATGGGTCAATTGCGTTAGAAATGATAATCGTGGGAGGTGTCCTAAAGTAACTACTTCTGGTGTTGCATATAAGGTAGATAAATTAATTATTCTGTTTCATTCTTTAAATAATATGATTACGTAGCGGACAGTTAGAGTTCCATTGAAGAGCACATTAATTTATTCAAACTATAAGTTGATACTGACCGGTTGCTTTGGTAAAAAGTTACTTGCAAAGAACATATACTCACTCAAAGTTGTGTATGATGGCAGTCCTAAAGTTTTTACCTTCAGGTCTTCTTATAAAGCAAAAAAATTCCAAGGAGAAGGTAGAGCTTAAAAATCATGCATTCCTTAATTCTCTCCAATTAGGTCTATTGAATGTACATTATTATTGTCACATGAGGGGCTATAAGAAATACTGTGTTGCTAAATATAAGTTCATTGGAGTTCCATATAGAGTAATCATAATCATTATTTTGTCTCAGAAAAAAAATTCTTATTGTAGCTTCGTTTGACAAGGTCTGAGTGATTCAATGTTACAAGACTCCTAAAAGCCACCATGTACAGATTTAACAGAAAGGGGGATTATTCAAGTAAGCAGAAGTCTCAAAACTAATTTCCTATAATCTCTTTTCTAGTACCCAACAGAAACTGAACTGATGTGGTCAAACCTTGGAAAAGAGGTAATAGTAATCCACCACTATGGTTTCTGTTTATAAAACACACCTACAGGACTAAATGATGACATAGCACCCAGTGATATTGATACTGAGGGATATTATAGATATAGTAGACCTAGAGCTAGGGACGTTAATTGTGAGTCAGTATATTAGATCTAGATCTATGTAATGCAATTATGTTACTCTGTTTATAGTAAAAGCTTTGGCTTTTGAGCTTAGTCGTTCTTCTAAAGCAATTGCTAGATCTGTGGGCAGGTTTTATCTTCAAGTACACCGAGGATAAGTGGGGAATGATTGAAGACATTTGTATAATTTTTTGTAACGAACCTTTGCTTTGTTTTTGTTTTTTGTCTTTGCCGCTAATTTTCTTTTCTACCAATATTTTCTACTAATTAATTTTCATTGTAGCTAGATCTAGATGTTCTCTTAGGTTGCATAGTTTTTAGAAAGCCTGTATGCAAGTTATTATGAGCAATTTAAAAGCGGTCCAATTTTTTGATGAAAAAGCAAAGGCCACAAAAGTTGGCTGTGAAATCACCCCGAATTTTTATTACAATTTCTAATACACATTGATGTCCTTATGCTACATGTAGAAAGTTTTAACTGCTTCCGACAAATAATACTCAAGTTATGACCATTTAAAACAAGCCATTTTAAAAAAGCAAAAGCTCCCATGGTTTTTTCTAAAAAATGGCTCTGAAATTCCCCAATTTTTATTACATTTTCTAATACATAGTGATGTCCCTATGCTATAAACAAAGTTTGAGCTATTTCTGACTAGTTATAATTTTGCATTAATATCCATGATCTATATTATTACGATACATAAACAATACAACTATGTATACATTGTAGGTAGATTCTTAATATGATATGACACTACATTTCTTGTGTCATGAAGCTTTGTCATATGGTCATATTGTAAACAAAAACACTAGCTTTTGCAAAGTTTGTGTCGGAACTCTATTTTGATGCAACTATCAATGCGTTTGACCAATTAAAGTGCTCTGACCACATGTCAATGTGTGGGTATCACATTATAGCAGCAAGTATGGCAAATGACAAGCTGACAGAAAGTGTCAAAAACTACCCTTGTCTTTGGCAGGTATCACATCCCGTGTTTAAATATAGGTTACACACCAAAATTGAGAGATTACGGTTATTTGGATCCCGACAAAAAGTTGCTGTGCACTATTTGGCTTCAGTTGTGATAAGTGATAATAATATGCTGTCAAAGCAATGTATTGCGCAATACTAGCAGGGACCCCTCATTAGCAGCTAAAGCATCAAAAAAATTCATAGGTTAGTTTACAAGGATTTAAGGGCTACTGGGCTAGAAAAAATGCATGGGCAAAAGTAACTGAAGAGGTAAATACGTCACTTGCATGATGCATGTGACAGCAATAGCAAGAGGCTCAAATCTTTATGATCAGTTGATCACAGACTATAGCTGTACCATTGATAATGCAATGAAAAGGTGGAAGTCTTTGAATAATAAGTTTGTTAGAGAACTGAAAAAAAACTTCTTTTAGAAAAACTGGTGTTTCAGGACCTGTTTATGTGTCAAAATGAGGACAATCAAATTTTAGTGTATCATTCAAATAACCTTTACCTTAAAGAACTCTTTCCACCTTGTGATAATACTTTAATTTCTGCACTGTCATTATCTAGCTTTATATAAAAAAAGATACGGTATGTATTCTAATAATTAAAATCACGTGCACTGATTTACTACGTCATTTTGAGTGATGTGTAGGAGTCTTGAAATAATTTTTGAGATGCCCTTATAGTGATCATATTACGGTACATTAAACGTTGACGCTGCTCAAAGGAATTAGTCAGGGTGAATAAACAGACTCACCCTATCTCTTAAAGCTAGGTAATGCCAGGTAACACACTCACAAAGCTCAAAAAACTTGTTAAGGTAAAGGTATTTGATTGATTGATATACTAAAATTTGACTTTTCTTAATTATTCAGGGATGGCTACAAGCCATAGGACTACTGAAACCTGATGAAGCTATTGAATTACAAGAAGTTGTAGTCCATACAGCCCCAGAACAATAACTATAAACTTGCTTACTTACTTTATTGCTGCTATATGTATTAAAAACTTAATTTTAAATTACATTAAAATCGCGAAATTTTTATTTGTGAATAGAAAAATGCAGCTAAATTGCAAAATTTTATACCTACAAAATATATGGCATACATGGTGTCACTTGTCAGACAATGCCCTTAATTTACACAGTTTACACTCATACTTTTAGTTTTATTGGCAGCCACATTCCAGGGAGAGAGCCTCAGAGAGGAATCGTCAGCATTAACTCTTTTTACAGAATCATTTCATGGGGAAAAGAGCCATTAGTAGTGAATAAGAATAGCAAAGCAGCCAGACTACAATACCGTAATGCTTTAAAATTGATGCAAAATGTACATTATTTTTGGTTGGGCAAACCGACAAAGCCCTTACATATGAGAATTTCTGTATGTATGTATGTATGTATATTTGAGGGTGTGACTAGGAGGTGTGGCCAGGAGGCGGAGCCCTCAATGTTTTTTAAGAGGCTATGACAAATACTGTGTTGCTAGATATAAGATCATTGGAGTTCTATATAGAGTAATTGGAGTGAGCCTGAGTGAGCCCCACATAAACGAGACAAGTATGTATGCCTACGTACTAGTCTCGTGTAGCCATACCCATCCCCTTTTTTGAGTCTGGCTATGCAAGACTATTTTTTTACATGTATGTCACCCCTAGATATTTATGTGTAATACGGTAGATGCTATGCATTAACAATGCATTAATTACTAGAAATAATGTAAAACATTGCAGAGCTCTGCCCTCAGGCCATGCCTCCCACTCATGCCCCTAAACGCATGTACGTACGTACATACCATAGATACTATACTCTACTATCTATGGTACATACAATTATACCGGTACATAGATCTACCTAGCATACACTGTACATACCGACATTTTTTCACCAGAGTGGGCTTTACCCAAAAATTATTCAGTTTTCAATAAATTTTCATTGAAAGTGGGAGTGGCAACAAGAAAATAAAATTATGGCCAACACACGGGAAGAAGTCATGAGTTTTCTAGCAGCAAATTGAGCAAAATAAGACAGAAATTGTTGATAACTCGACTTACTCTATTCATGGTACAGACCAAATGCAGCAAGGAATGTTAAAAAAGCAGCATATCATTTGTGCATTGACTTCTTCTAGCTATCTTCAATGCTTCCTAAGCACTAAACTTTTAGCTTTAATAACAACTGAAGGCAGTTCAAGAACCACACTCACTCCATCACACTCCATCAAGTTCTGAGCTGCTTAAGTTGCACAATCATGCATGAGTATTGTAGTCTGTCAACATCTACTGTATGTACATTGCTTTAGGCTCGCCCCTTTAATGTTTTACATTCGAATCATTATTTTGTCTCAGAAAAAAATTCTCATTGTAGCTTCGTTTGACAAGGTCTGAGTGATTCAATGTTACAAGACTCCTAAAAGCCACCATGTACAGATTTAACAGAAAGGGGGATTATTCAAGTAAGCAGAAGTCTCAAAACTAATTTCCTATAATCTCTTTTCTAGTACCCAACAGAAACTGAACTGATGTGGTCAAACCTTGGAAAAGAGGTAATAGTAATCCACCACTATGGTTTCTGTTTATAAAACACACCTACAGGACTAAATGATGACATGGCACCCAGTGATATTGATACTGAGGGATATTATAGATATAGTAGACCTAGAGCTAGGGACGTTAATTGTGAGTCAGTATATTAGATCATTGACAAGATCTATGTAATGCAATTATGTTACTCTGTTTATAGTAAAAGCTTTGGTTTTTGAACTTATCATTCTTCTAAAGCAATTGCTAGATCTGTGGGCAGGTTTTATCTTCAAGTACACCGAGGATAAGTGGAGATCGATTGAAGACATTTGTATGCTTTTTTTGTAACAAATCTTTGCTTTGTTTTGTTGTCTTTGCTGCTAATTTTTTTTTCTATCAATATTTTCTACTAAAATTATCATTATCATTTTTGTGAATTAGCTATAGATCTTAAAACCTATTTTAGAGTTATGATCATATATTATTTTGTGATACATTACTATTACAATGATGCAATAGAGTACATTATCAATGATCGTACACCATCAATTTTCGGACACTTGTTTTAGGAAAACTATACATTGCCATCTCATGAAACTGCAAAGTATTATAGCAATAGTTATCCTTTATTTGCGTGACAAAACTTGTAGCTCTAGCAAGAGTGCATAGAAAGTTATAAGCTCTCAAAGCGTGGTGTCCGACAATACCAATGATCGGCCAAAATTCTCAATCTTCGGACTGTCATTTCTGAACGGCAGCAAAGGATAGTTTTAGAAGGTCACTATGATAACTTTGTAGGCCTGTCTTTAAACTAACTATCACCATCCGGATCTTTTTGATAGCTGTCTTTTTGACAGAGATAATGGCCACTTAAAATGTGTCACCTGATCCCTCAATATACGGACAAATTTTACAAAAATATACAAAAATTATGAATTTTATTAGAGTACATTATCAATGATCGTACACCATCAATTTTCGGACACTTGTTTTAGGAAAACTATACATTGCCATCTCATGAAACTGCAAAGTATTATAGCAATAGTTATCCTTTATTTGCGTGACAAAACTTGTAGCT